TAAATAATAGTATTTACCTGTCAAAACTAAACATGAACTGTTTGAAACATCAACCTAAATATGACTCACACTACTGTCACCAATGCATTATATGTACCGCCCCACCCCTGGTTATAATACCACCCTGGTAAAAGTGCCATGTTTTTCTCAGTACAAAATTTCCTGGTTATAATACTAATGCCAGCTTGTTTCAGAACACACATTCCAATTCTCAGGTGATAATGCCATTTTGCCTTAATTTTGACAAAACATGGTTGTATAGATTCTTTTGGAGATAATTCCCTGTTATAAATCAACAAACTAATTGCATTGATCGCAGATGATTTCATTGCTAATCCACACACGGAAAATCATTCACTTTCTTAAAATAACAAACCAATTAGTTTGATGTTTTGATTATGTGGACCCGTGAGGATCCGGTTAGAATTCAGCAACCCATGCTTAACGTAAGAGGCGACTAACGGGATCGGGTGATCAGCCTCGCTGACTTGGCTGATGCATATCTTCGTATCCCAATTGCGTGGATCGATGCTCATGATGACTTGATGTTACCTGATTGTTCTGTCCAGACTCGATTATTTACAAACCACCGTCATATTGCAGGAATATTGCTGGGGTTGTGGTTGACGTCGGCGTAGCCGTCTATCCCATTCATCCCACGGGTATTCTGTCTGGTTCAAATCCGGGGATCTGTAGGGCCAGGGGGAACATCAACGTTGTTGTTGTGTAGAAAGGCTCTTGTGATCCATGCTGTATGCGCTCGATCGTTGTCCTGCTCGAATACACCGTTGCCGTTGGCTGCAATTGGGAGGAAGTGTGGTAGGAGAATATCGTTGATGTATCGTTGAGCCATAAGATTGCCCTGAATATGGACCAAACCTGTCCTGCAATGATGAGAGATAGCTTCCCACGTCATAACGCTACCCCCTCAAACCTGTCCACTTCCTGTACGCAGTTTCCGGCGTAACGTTCCCCCGACGTCTGTAGACCCGTGCTCTTCCATCCCCTCGACGGAAGAGAAATCTTGATTCGTCGCTGAACAAGAAATCTCTCCATCGCAGTTGAGGCCATACCCTGTGTTGACGACACCAATGCAGTCGTTGTTGACGATGTTGTCGACTCAATATGACGCGTCGAACAGGACCTGCTGCTCTTTCGTACGGTTTCGTACGGACTGGTCGGAGATTCTGCGCACTCCGGGTATTTGGGATGCGGTTGAGGAGGCTGTGGTCGTCCTTTCACGTATGTGGCGCATTCGGATGTAGCGGTCTTGGGCGGGGGTGGTTACTCTTATTAACCCATTCTGTTGAAACCGACCCCATAGCCTTGTGATGGTGCTGGGCGCTACATTGAAAACCCTGGCTACAGCTAATCGAGATTCCTCTGCCTGCAAGCGGCCTATGACGTTGTTTATTTGCACTTCTGTTAATCTTCGCAGGATCTTGAACTGTCACTGTTCGATTGACGCAGAGGCCAGGCAATAACCCCCCCCCCCCCCCCCCCCCCCCCTTGTAATCACAAACTACAAGTTGAATCTGGTAGATATAAAAAACAACAACATTGGATCAACATCTCTGTGAAACATGTTATGTCTTAGAACGAACGATGGGTCTAGAAATATTGAAGTTAATAGTTATTTTGATTTTTGTATGCAGTCTTGACCTTACCTTTTATTATTGAGTAAACTGTAATTGGGTTTCAAGTTTATGCCCGTGATAAATATGGATTGATTTGAACCATTTTGAATTAGTAAACCGTCAATTCTCAGGCAATCTTCCCCGCGTGATGATGGCCACAAACCTAAAAAGGATTGCTTTTTTAATTTTGGTAAACTTTATATATGACATTGCCTAATATCCACAGAAGAACTGGGGGAACTGGTGTCAATCTCATCTTGTATTTGATTTTAAGGTGGCCCAACCAGGTGGAATCTAATCACAAGCGTTGGGCTTCTTTGCCTGTCAACATTCACGGTTCTGGCAAGTCATGTACAGGCCAACTCATGCAGCAGTGTCCAGGGGTTGTAGCAACTCGGCAAAATGATCGACCCTACGTCAATTTCACAAGTCGAAGTCTGCCCTTCAGTTATACCTCTTAACATTGAATTAATATGAAACATATATTTGACCGGCTTTGCTGTCTGAAGACCTGTGTCTGTCTTTCATCCACTAACTATAACCTGATGCCGCAGGAATGGTACCAGGCAGGATTTTGTTGTAGTATTGTATTGTTTTTTACAAGTATGTGTGTATTGTTTTTTTACAGTAATTTACAGCTTGTATTTCTGAACAGCAGTACTTGGTATTGCAGTGAGGTTGTATTTATACATGTTCTTTTTGACACAGTGAATACTTTATTTCCTTTACGTATTCATGACAGATAATTACAACGGCAATAAACACCCGTCAAACATCCTTGGTGTGTGTTGTTGTAAGTGGGTGAACGAGTTAGGCTCGACACTGCTTTGAACAGTATTTCAGTGACATCAGGCCGTGTCAGCGTGAGGTGGGGGGAAAGGTCTGAGGATTGCTACGACTCTGAAGTCTGCACAGTGAACTGCGGCGACCAAGACGAATGTGCCACTGGTGTCCTCGTGTGTATGGAATGTGTACACATTGTCCATTGTGTTGACCTCAGCCTGACACATCGCTCACTGGAGATTATCCTACCAAATGAGTCATAACCATGTGGATTTCAAGGACACGTCGTGTCTTAGCTACTTATTAAACGTTGTTAAAAGTCGAAACATACTGGTGTTACAGTGAATATACACAATCCTTACTCCAACCCGAGTGAGTGAGTGAGTATGGTTTTACGCCGCTTTTAGCAATATTCCAGCAATATCACGGCTTCACACATTGTACCCATGTCGGGAATCGAACCCGGGTCTTCGGCGTGGCGAGCGAACGCTTTAACCACTAGGCTACCCGACCGCCCCTACTCCAATCCGAATGCAAATGAACATATGTGGTAATTTTTATACAGATTTTTATCTATCTTTAAATCATGTCCTTTCCTTTCCTAGTCGGAGTAGTAAACATACGTATATGTTCTCCTGTAACATATACATTAACTTTCTCCTGACTCCAAAGTGATGCGTACCATTTTTTATAGGATCGCTTTACTCCGAGTACTATGACTAGTAAAATGACAATGAGTGACAATGAGTGCCGAATTGTTCCAAATATTATTCGTTCTTCAGTTTCAGTCACCCATCTGATGTATTGTGTCTGTTCAGTGACATCCATAAAAAATGTTGAGTTTTATAGTTTGGTCATGTCATAATAGAAGTCACTTCAAGCACTAATTTTAATCACTGCAGCAAGCAAATACGCCGCAGAAATACACACAATGTGCATGCCTCACCCTCCTTTCAACTGAGTCTCACCTCCATATCTGACTTGTAGATTATCTGTTGTAATCAAACACTATACACGTTGAAATTGTATGCAGTTGAAACACGTCTTACAGTAAAATATATTAATTAAACTGTCGGGCAAGTTAATACACTTGTCAAATCGGATTAGACCAAAGAATTAGAAACGTTTTCAAACGTTATCAAAACGTGACTCGGCTGAAAACAGGCGCCAAAACACTGCAAACTAAAGGTCCAAAACACATTTCTTGTTTATTTTTTGTTAGCCACCGTTAAACATGGATGTGTACTTTCTTTTGGCTAACATTTATGTATATTTTCACCAACATTCATCTCCAACACACAAATAACTTCAGAACGGAGTCAAAAACAGTTCATCTGAAACAAGGTCAAAATTCAAAAATTAATATAATAAATCCAAATTAATAACATTACATTTTTGTTTCTCTTCACTTTCTGCATGAAACATAACATTGCAAATTACATACAATAAAAAAATCACAACGATATTAAACAAAAGACTTCAATGAGCGATTGAATAAATTGATGTTGTTCATCGCCGCAGTCGCAATATCTGACCAGTGTCGAGGCCTGTAGACTACTGTACGTCGGAACCAGGTGACGTCACATGGCCTGATATCCACCCAATTTAGTAGTCTCTCACGACAGGCATTATTCAGACCCAGAAGCACAACAGCGGTTCGAGAAGCACGAAGTAAGGTATGATATTGCATCATAATGTTGCAATAACAAATCTTTATCTGATTATAGTCAATATAATTCACACAAACGGTTCCATCTTCTTAGATCACGTGAATGAAATGATTTGTTATATAAATCCGAATTTTAATACTTGTCACAATTTTCTGTTTTCAATACTTCATCAAATTTCTTCAAACGAAAAAATATATAAGCCGACAATGAAATGAGAGACCGACTTCACATTACATTTCCATTTAGTCGATCAGGTTGTTTCGGTGCAGATTAGTTTTCATTGTTTTGGTATTTGTTTCGCTTTTAAATAAAATAGGTATTAATTCTGTTAATAAATAAAAATTATGTAATCACCCACTGTTAAATGAAATGGCAGAATGAACAAACAGATAAATCAATCAAAATCTATTGCATAAATATGATAAATGATAAACAAGGCTACACTAATGTACCACCAGGAGACAATCTTTGTGGCAGATTAAACGAGTTTATTATGTTTTTGTGTGCTCAAGTTACATGTTTATCTCACAGAGTGACCAGGCTAAGGTGATATTTCCACGAGGGAAAATGTCAAGTTTTTCAGGCAACAATTTCCCGACATGTTATTCGAGTGAAATGTTTTTTTAACGTGAGCGTAACATTGCATTACTATTTTCAAATAAATACATTATTTATATCGCTAAATAATAAAAAGGATCACCATGCAGAATCAGCACAGAGAACATGATGGATAACCTCGCTCAGTTGTCCCAATGTTACTCTAGTCACGCATTAAGGATACATCACAGTAACATAGAGAGGTATCTGTCGACACAGGCTTGTTTATACAGTCAGCTGACTGTGAGTTATGAAGTAAAACCTCCACCAAATGGCCGCTTTTCATATTGTGACTATACCCATTCAAAATGCAGTTCCCCTCTCCCGTTTCAATATGTTCGATGCCACGTAGAGAATCCATGCTTGATCATGAACCTTCTTCCTCAACATCATCAAGTCGCAATCTTTAGTCAACAGTCAGTCATCTGCATCTCGGAGGAACTCAAATACATTTCCGAGCCTCGTTTCTGATGTAGCACTTGTGTCCAGCAACGCCAGCAGCCATATCTACCGATAGTCGGTATCTTGTGGTTTATAAGTTTGTGAGAGCTGCTTCCAGTGATGAATAGTGATAAAGTATGTACACATGAACAAGAGGATTTATACTGGACAACGGATAAAAGGTTTTACGACATGCGTCTATATAACTAGGTCAGAGATAAGACCTAGCTACAATGGAGTATGGATAGACCTATCCTCACACAGCCTTCTCCTTCCCGATATACTGACCCCCGACCCCCGGGCACGTCCCGGTCCCCTCAGGACCCAGACCCACCCCCCAGGGATATAGCCTTCCTGGAGAGACAGGATGAGTTGAGGATATACCAGCAGCTGGACCTGTTGGACGGTAGGTGTCTGTGTGTATGTTATAGTCAGTAGTGACCGACATGTATCAGCCTAGACTATCATAGATGTCACAAAAACTAACACCCTGTGACATATGTATAAAGATCCATTATAATGTTTTTGTGGATCCATGAAAACAGGTACTGTCGGATACAACTTGTGGTGTCTAATACTACCTGAGTTTATGTCTTACACACCGCGATCATCGAGGTACAGTCTTATATATATCCTGAGGTACAGTGACTACAGTCTTATACACCCGGAGGTTCAACCGCGATTACCAAGGTACAGGCTCATGCACAAGGAGTTACCCACATACATATCCGACGTCACAGTCTTATACACACCTGGGGGTAGTCTTTTATATCCGGAGGTACTGTCTTATACAACGGAGGTACAAGCTTATACACACCTGAAGGTACAGTCGTATATATCCGGAGGTACGGTCTTCTACACCCGGCGGTTCAGTCATATACAATGGTGGGCGAATCGCCCGGATGCGGTAGATATGTGGACGTCGTCTGTCTGACCTCGCAGATACACCCCTGGTAGCAGGGATTGCAGGGGATGTGAGAGTTGCCGTCTGGAACCTGCTGTCTGAAAGATGCATGGTTTGAATCATATGTGTTGGTGTGTGGTTGTCACGTGTGGGCGGCCGCTACAGAACCGATCTCTGACGTGGTTGTTCTAGTGTGACGTCGCCATAGGTGCCATAGGATACCCCCGTGGACGTTGAATTCAAAACGATCACACATCGTGTTTGTCTTAGCTCTGCACTTCCGAAGCTTGTTTATAGTGTCACTGATATGAGATTGGATATTTGGCCTTTTATAGAGAATATCAGAAGCAATATCTCCAGAATATTCTTCACTTCTAGCCAAAAACATGCACTGCGGTCAAGTGTCAGTATTCATTGTAAGTTTATTTCGGAGGATTGTTAGTGTCAGCTAATTGAAGCGCTCGTAAAATAAAGTGACTCCCTTATTTTTTAAAGTCAACGCTCCGTCCCAGCGCTAGAGACCTTGTTTATACCGCTATCGATTGACTCCCGGTACCGACAACCTCATCCGTGAAGCTTCGCAATCTCATTAAAATCACCTCTTAGTTCTCGCTATCGCTACACAAAGATCTGAGGACATCCCATTACGGGTCACGTCAGAACGACCTTCCATCTGTCCAATCAAAGAGTCGCTTACCAGATCATGAAAGTGACAGTCGGAATGTGTTTTCTAATACATGCAATCTTGAAAACGTTAACACGGGGTATTCCGAACGACAGTTACGGCCCGTACGACTGATTCCGTCAAAATCATCGTCTACATCTCGCTTCCGTGGGATAAACATTTGAACGGAGGAGGCGTTGCACGGCACGTGGGAAGCACTGCCATACAATCTCAACCACATATTAGACATCCTGGAATGTTCGTTTGTTCAGTTTTCAAATTTTTATTTTCAACATATTTTTCAAGCGTAGACTGAAATGAAAGTCGCCAGGTTGAAAAGGGTGCCGTAAAGCTCGAGAAAGCTGCTTTCTAACTGGCTGATGTCGGCTTCTTGTTAGTCATTTCAGTGGTCGGTAAAAGTTCGCGAAAGGTCGTTCTGAAATGACCCGTAATGGGATGTCTTCAGATCTTTGTTTAGCGGTAGCGAGAACTTTGAGCTGATCTTAATGAGATTGTGAAACTTAGCGAGGTAACATTTTCTTGGCATTGTCTAAAGTATGGATTTTTTTCTTGGCATAGTGTAAAGTGTGGAATGGAGTTTGGATTGGAATACTGGAATACTGGAATGGAATTTTACAAACTGTCGATTTAATTCACGATATTATACCAATAAGGGTCTGTACAACACAGGGTTTGTTTTCAGCGCGAGATGAGTATATGCCATTTTTGCCATTCCAAATTCCATTCCAGTATTCCAATCCAAACTCCATTCCATACTTTACACTATGCCCATTTTCTAGGAGGCTGGCTGTACCTGTTTTAGAGCAAGACGAGTTCGCTTCGAGATTTTCTACGAACTGACTTGAGTCTTATCTACTGATATAGTGTGGATAGGATACCTGTAGGAAAACATCGACTTAATGCCTGCTTCAAACACTGTTTCCTGGATTGAACCACGGAGCACTGACTTAATAAGGCCTATTACACACTGCTGCTGTCACGTCCTTGATCTGTTATGATAGTAAACACAATCTGGTGTGTTTCCATATGATTTGTTAACTAGTTATTGATCTTGTATGTTTATTTACTGATTTTTTAAAAATCCAAACGTACCGACACCTGGGTTAACCTTCGCTTGTCAACTTGGAAATCAACTCGTAACAATACCAACGACATTTGGTTGGTTGCGGTTATTCTGATGTTTTCATAAACATTTTCAATGGTTCAAATCCACAAATTATTATGTGGGTTTGTCAGTGAAACATAACCATGTCACAATAACAATTGAGTACATAGCAACGTGTTAGCGTCTGTTAATCAGTATCTGCTGACTGACTACACAAGCGAGTTCATGTCATTTCTGTTTATATTGACGACTATGATACATATTTACAGCTACCTTCCTGAAGACAAGTTTTGAGCGGTACAACACCTACACTATATGTACCGCTGACGACGAAGCATGTTACTTCGCAAAGGAATGTGAGTATCTTGGATGATAGTGTCAGGATGTATGTGGTGTAGACCTGTGGAGATGCAGAGTAGAATAGGTCTTCAGCAACCCATGCTTGTCGTAAGTGTCGACTATGCTTGTCGCAAGAGGCGACTAACGGGATCGGGTGGTCAGGCTCGCTGACATGGTTGATGCATGTCATCGATCCCAATTACGTGGATGGATGCTCATGATATTAATCACAGGATTTTCTGGTCCAGACTCGATTAATTACAGACCGCCATCATATAGCTGGAATATTGCTGAGTGCGGCGTTAAACAACAAACAAAAATCCTACCTCTATGAACACAATACTTATATTGAAGTCAATTTTCAATAAAAGCGGAACTCGTATATAATTATGAAGCCAATCAGGGTCTTGAGACATTGCCTCTCTGTTATAAAGATAGTGAGTGAGTGAGTATGGTTTTACGCCGCTTTTAGCAATATTCCAGGAATATCACGGCGGGGAACACCAGAAATGGGCTTTACACATTGTACCCATGTCGGAAATCGAACCCGGGACCGGCGTGACGAGCGAACGCTTCAACCACTAGGCCCGCCCGTTATTGAGATAAGGCTCATATATGTCCTTGAATTTGAGTTAGCAGACAAAGTTGTTTTTGACAAGAATTAACATTCTTGCTAGGACTGCGGATTGGCCCATTCCAAGTTCCTTTAGTACAATTTAGATAACAGTTAAAACTGTGTCTTTTCAAACATTTTGAATAGTGTTTGTTGGTTTGTTTTAGCAGAGACCATATAATATTACAATAATAATATTATTATATGGTCTCTGGTTTTAGCAAGTGAGACAAAATGGCGGATCTGCTTCCATCAGCGACCAATGAGAGTGGAGGTTAAGGACAACTATGGGAGCGTCGTGATGCGATTGGACAGGCCCTGGCGGTGCCGCGCGAGCTGGCTGTGTTGTTGTCACTTACAGGAAATGTTCATAGAACGGCCGCCAGGGGTCGTGTTGGCAACGGTCAATGAGAAGTAAGCACTGGACAAAGCATAACATGTTGTACTACCCACTGAATCAGTATAAAACACATCACATACATGTTGACTGCTTCATGTTGGCTAATGCTGAAAAAGTTGCAGTGCAAACTTGCAATTTCATTCTGATAAATAAGATACTACTAATTCACAGGCTCAAAATATTAGTTTGTTATTCTGATCAATGATTTCTGGTTAAATACAGGCAGATGATGCAAAATAAAATCCCTTGACATAAATATAACATCAGGACCGCTGATGCTGACATTAACATTGACATGTCGAGTGGGACATATAGGGTTTTTGTCTTGAAAGTTCAACTTCCATCTACATGCGTCTGTTTCCAGCTGGACGTGTTGGCGGCCGGAGTTTGATATCTCTGTGTCTGGGCAGGGCGGCTTCCTGCTGAGAGGGGCGTGGTCGTCATGTCGCTGTGCTTCACATAACAAATTTTATGTGAGTTGCCCTCTTAAATACACTATTCTAAACTTTTCGAACACAATTACCAAACACTTGATTGTGCACTACATGGAACAGAGCTATTTGGTATTTTAAAGCTGCAGTAAGCATGATGCAATGGCGTTGATACGGTCATCCCAGTCATACATTGTAACCACCCGATCACCAATCAGTTCTTGCGTGAATCGTGGGATGCACGATGTTGTGTTTTGGGGACTATGTCCTCTGGACGAAAGACTAGACGTGGACATCATTGGGACGACGTGTCGGCTGGCCATTATTAACACATGAAATCGAGGTAGTGGTCACAAGACTTCCGGTTAACAATACATTGCACCTAACAACTAATAACAACCTTTTCACGAACGTCTGCTGAACACTTCACAAGAGGGGCCTTTCTGGCTCAAATCGCCCTGTGAGCCATGCTAGAAAAGCGTAATCCATCATCTCACCGAGTGACATGTCCGACTATATTTCATAGTTATTGACTTTACACTCGTGTTTCAGGTTTACGACCGATCAGGGGAGAAGGTAGCGGTTATTTCTAAGACGTACGAGAACTGCACAGCGAGATGTGCATTCCTTAATGATTTCAAGATCGAGTGTAAGTAATGTTTAAATAAGCTTATCTCTAATATATTACCACTATTTATTGTCCAACTTAACAAGATACTTATTTCAGCAATTATAACCTTCAAGCTGGACAAACGTGTATTTATAGTTGGCAGCCTCTCGTCTACTTTTGGACTGTCTTCTTGTGAACTGTCTTCTTGTGGACTGTCTTCTTGTGAACTGTCTTCTTGTGGACTGTCTTTTTGTGGACTGTCTTTTGTGAACTGTCTTCTTGTGAACTGTCTTCTTGTGGACTGTCTTCTTGTGAACTGTCTTCTTGTGAACTGTCTTCTTGTGTACTGTCTTCTTGTGGACTGTCTTCTTGTGGACTGTCTTCTTGTGGACTGTCTTCTTTTGGACTGTCTTCTTCTGGACTGTCTTCTTATGAACTGTCTTCTTATGAACTGTCTTCTTGTGAACTGTCTTCTTGTGGACTGTCTTCTTGTGAACTGTCTTCTTGTGGACTGTCTTCTTCTGGACTGTCTTCTTATGAACAGTCTTCTTGTGGACTGTCTTCATGTGGACTGTCTTCTTGTGAACTGTCTTCTTGTGGACTGTCTTCTTGTGGACTGTCTTTTGTGAACTGTCTTCTTGTGAACTGTCTTCTTGTGGACTGTCTTCTTGTCGGCTGTCTTCTTGTGGACTGTCTTCTTGTGGACTGTCTTCTTGTGAACTGTCTTCTTGTGAACTGTCTTCTTGTAAACTGTCTTCTTGTGAACTGTCTTTTGTGAACTGTCTTCTTGTGGACTGTCTTCTTGTGAACTGTCTTCTTGTGGACTGTCTTCTTGTGAACTGTCTTCTTGTGAACTGTCTTCTTGTGGACTCTTCTTGTGGGCTGTCTTCTTGTGAACTGTCTTCTTGTGGACTGTCTTCTTGTGGACTGTCTTCTTATAAACTGTCTTCTTGTGGACTGTCTTTTGTGAACTGTCTTCTTGTGAACTGTCTTCCGGTGAACTGTCTTCTTGTGGACTGTCTTTTGTGAACTGTCTTCTTGTGGACTGTCTTCTTGTGGACTGTCTTCTTGTGAACTGTCTTCTTGTGGACTGTCTTCTTGTGGACTGTCTTCTTGTGAACTGTCTTCTTGTGGACTGTCTTCTTGTGGACTGTCTTCTTATAAACTGTCTTCTTTGTGGACTGTCTTTTGTGAACTGTCTTCTTGTGAACTGTCTTCTTGTGAACTGTCTTCCGGTGAACTGTCTTCTTGTGAACTGTCTTCTTGTGAACTGTCTTCTTGTGGACTGTCTTCTTGTGGACTGTCTTCTTATAAACTGTCTTCTTGTGGACTGTCTTCTTGTGAACTGTCTTCTTGTGGACTGTCTTCTTGTGAACTGTCTTCTTGTGGGCTGTCTTCTTGTGGACTGTCTTCTTGTGGGTTGTCTTCTTGTGAACTGTCTTCTTGTGAACTGTCTTTTGTGAACTGTCTTCTTGTGGACTGTCTTCTTGTGAACTGTCTTCCGGTGAACTGTCTTCTTGTGGACTGTCTTTTGTGAACTGTCTTCTTGTGGACTGTCTTCTTGTGGACTGTCTTCTTGTGAACTGTCTTCTTGTGGGCTGTCTTCTTGTGGACTGTCTTCTTGTGAACTGTCTTCTTGTGGACTGTCTTCTTGTGGACTCTTCTTGTGGGCTGTCTTCTTGTGAACTGTCTTTTTGTGGGCTGTCTTCTTGTGGACTGTCTTCTTGTGAACTGTCTTTTTGTGGACTGTCTTCTTGTGGACTGTCTTCTTGTGGACTGTCTTCTTGTGGACTGTCTTCTTGTGAACTGTCTTTTTGTGGACTGTCTTCTTGTGAACTGTCTTTTTGTGGACTGTCTTCTTGTGGACTGTCTTCTTGTGGACTGTCTTCTTGTGGACTGTCTTCTTTTGAACTGTCTTTTTGTGGACTGTCTTCTTGTGGACTGTCTTCTTGTGGACTGTCTTCTTGTGAACTGTCTTCTTGTGGACTGTCTTCTTGTGGACTGTCTTCTTGTGGACTGTCTTCTTGTGAACTGTCTTTTTGTGGACTGTCTTCTTGTGGACTGTCTTCTTGTGGACTGTCTTCTTGTGAACTGTCTTTTTGTGGACTGTCTTCTTGTGGACTGTCTTCTTGTAGACTGTCCAGAATGAAGTATCCAGAACACAGCTGAAAGGTTATATGAGACATTTCGCTCGGGAAAGCTTCATTTACGCCACGGTTCAGAACCTCGAGTAAGGATAAAGTTCTGTTCTGCAGTCGAATAAGATGTTTTTCGTCTTGGTATCCCTATACAAAATGGCAAATATGTGATATGAAATTATAATTTTGCAAAATGAATATTTTTCTCCCCGCGAAGTCTGTTCACTAACTGTCAATCAGAAAATCGAACAATATTCTTGGTAAGCAAGCAACCCTTTGAGTTTTCATTTAAACATTTAATTGTTATTGCTTTATCCGACCGCCACTTCATTGTCTTACATCTCTTCAAGGGGACACGGCTTTCCCAGTCGTATAAGGCGCCTCAAATCGCAATGCAGAGTTGCGTCCATTGGGCACAGCAGAAATCTATGATCATATGTTTGAATCTCATTTCGCCACGATTATGTTTCTTGTTTGTATAACTGGAATACTGTTCATAGCGGCGTTAAACCCAACTCACTCACTCACTAGATAGCTTTAAAAAAAATAATTAATTGTTTTTGAGAAAATACGTAAAACTAAGTGACAATAATGAACATGTTAATGCAGTTATATATGAGATTTGCTTCTGTCGTAACTGCCTTTGGGCGTCCAGTGCGACCCTGCTACAGTTACTAAATGTATTGCCGTTCCTGGTCCTTGTGGTCAATTAAGCCATGACATTACCCTCGCCTTGTCCACCACGGCTCGGCTCCGTCAAGGAATGATTGGTCTAATGACACTTACTCCAAGTTGTCTCTATCAGCATTCACACCCGCATAATAAAGAAACGCAACACCAGTTTATACTCACATAGTTTTACTTACTCTCAGCCCATCTATCAATACAGGACAGGATCAGACTGGCCAGGCTCGTCACTAGCTGGGGGAAACTTAGAACGATCGGGATTCAACTCGATCGATTGCAAACCGCGCTCTCCTCTCCTAATGTTGAGGGTATCATTTCATAGTGTTCGAGCCTGGCCTGTCCTTGTCACATGTCTCAATACCTCCATTTGATTCGTTACAAGTTAGATCTGACCATGAACTCATGTGTGTCGTAATCGGAAAAATACCAGAGCCTACGTGCCATATTGCTCATCTCTCTATTGATTTTGTGACACGCGTCCGGAAGCTCCAAATGAATTATGCCTTGAAACTCCCCATTTGTTTCATTAACTCATGGACGGTAGCCAGAAACCAATCCAATGATAAATGTGAAATGTCCAGAATACACTTGTGATAAATGTGAAATGTCTTTTCTCTATTGATTCCTTACAAACTAAAAGTTCTGTCACAAACTATATCTAATGCAACTCCTCATTGCAGCTATAATGGTTCTATTTGTTATCATTAGTTTCTGAGATGCATTTTTAACCTTATAACACTTCCATGTCGTCTAGACCTGTCGTCGATGTCAGCCCAGGACAAGATGCTCATCTTCGGGGCAGCGTTCCTAGTGGACTTCAACTACCTGGAACTTCGAGTGTGACCTCACTGACGCGTGATCTTCATACCACGTGACCACGCTGTGTTGGCTGAGCACCGACCTTCGCATCATCCATATATATAATATCAGGGCTGGATGTGTTGCAAGATAGTAATATGAATATGCAATAGCGATCAAACTAATATGTTATATATTTATATATACTGTTTAAACTTCATTCTTTATTATGCATTTTACATACAATATGTATATTGTAACGCAATTTGTAAATATCTATGTATTTAAGGCCCATTTTACTAAATTACTAAGGGGTAATTATTTATTACAATGTTGATATTTTCCCTTCTATGTACAATTCTTCATTTTGTGCAATTTATCTTCATTATTAATATCCAGTACCGAGATAATGTACTAAGCTTCCATCTGCGTTACAAATATGTTCTTTGTCCGACGACGCCGAAAACAAAACTACAAAACTGCAGCTATCATAATGGAACTGTCGCTTGGGAACAATTTGATCATATTTGTAGTATTTTTTCAGGTACAAAGAAACAAGAAACTGAAAAACCTTTTACACATGTACACCGCACACAATAAATATACCAATGCCTTACAGAAAGCACTCATGAGAATATGTTACAAACATGATGCATTACATTCATTATTCCTGGATGATATCACAATGTCGCACTTAACTACCCGGACTGCGCAGAATCTCTGACCAGACCGTACGAAACCGTTTAAGAGCAGCAGGTCTACAAGCAAGACGTCCTGTTAGACGCGTCAATCGACAACATCGTCAACAACGACTGCATTGGTATCGTCAACACAGGCTATGGCCTCAACTGCGATGGAGAGATTTCTTGTTTAGCGACGAATCAAGATTTCTCTTCCGTCGAGGGGATGGAAAATTACGGGTCTACAGACGTCGGGGAGAACATTACGCCGGAAACTGCGTACAGGAAGTGGACAGGTTTGAGGGGGTTGCGTTATGATGTGGGCGGATCTCTCATCATGGCAGGGCAGGTTTGATTCATATCCAGGGCAGTCTTACGGCTCAACGATATATCAACGAAATTATCCTACCACACGTCCTCCCAAATGCAGCCAACGGCAACGGTGTATTCCAGGAGGAAAACGCTCGACCGCATACAGCATGGATCACAAGAGTCTGTCTACACAACGACAACGTTGATGTTCTCCCCTGGCCCTACAGCTCCCCGGATTTGAACCCGATATAGCACCTGTGGGATGAATTGGATAGACGGCTACGCCAACGTCAATCACAACCCGAGACGTCGCAGCAGTTGGCTTTTGCGTTGAAGGCCGAGTGGGCTACCATTCCCCAGGATGTGATTCGCATACTCGTCACTTTCATGGGCAGATGTCAGGCCACTATCGATTCCAACGGGGGAGATACGCGTTATTGATGGTAGCTGACCTTCACCTTGGACTTTTCCTATGTACCGATAACTGAGATGACTACAATCACCAAGTGTTCTCTCCACAACATTTTGGCACAATGCCTTGTACGGTTCCGCGTATAAATGTATTTCCCTACCTCACACAAATCTGGCTTTGCGGGGTTTTTTTTTAAGAGTATATATATTGGCAAATATTTTAAAACTAAGAAGTGTCATTTTTTAACTTATTTTCATGATTCGGGGTAACATATTAGTCTGCCAAATGTTGTTGCTTCACAACGAGGAAGATGTAGGAAGAACAAGCATGCATGCAATATTTAAGTAGCTGTAAGTACGTCGAAACACTGAAACATACTCACGGTTTTGGACTTCACACAATTAAGTGCTCCGTGTTCTGATATCCGCCTTGGTCGCCGGAGTATTTGAAGTAGATTGGTACATTCTTATGAATGGCCACTTCACTTCTCACTAAGTCCATTTCTGTTGGACTCTCCATGTGGGTAAGTGAGTTGGATTATACGCCGCTTTTAGCTATAATCCGGCAATATCGTTTCTGAAGACACCAGAGACGCCAGTGTGCCAATGTGGGGAATCGAACCCGGGCCCTCGGCGTGACGGCCGAACGCTTTAACCATTAAGCCACATCACCGCCATCAGTTTATACAGCAGAGAAAGGATTTGAGATGCTGGTTCATCCATTACTTGTATGTTGTACAGAAAATAAACAGGTTTGTCATGTCTGAAAGTAACCTTATGTGGTAACAGTATACAATATTATTAATAGGTTACAAATACGACAGAGGATAGTTAATTATGTTCAGTTTGTATTCAAATGGTTTTATCAGCTCCATGGGAAGTATATAACACAACATTAAACTCTTATGCCTTACCTTGCTGTATTTAAGTAACTTGTTTTACAGCTGTGAATAATTCAGGGTCAATAATTTGTGTTAAAGTTTGTAATGGTCACTGACGAGGCCTTTGATAACATATCCACTATACGTAAGCGCCCAAGGCGCCGCGATTCGCTGTGCACAGTTGCGTCCCTTGGGTACGCTAGAAACCTATGATTGTGGGTTCGAATCCCGGTTCGCCCCGATTGTTTTTATGTTTGTCAGCACCATACCCGTGCTCGTGGGTTTCACCGAAGTGGTAAACGTCTGAGACCTGCATCACTTCGGGCTTTCCTCCTACATTAAGCTGACACGCCGCGATATAACTGGAATACTGTTAAAAGCGGCTTTGAAACCCAACTCACTCACTCACTCACTCCCTTACATTAATGTTTGTTTTCAAAGACACAGCCAGCTGTCATCCTAAGTATGGCTACCCTACAGGAAAGTGTAGTTGTTCCTACTGACAAGGCCTTACATAGCATAACCATGTATATGTAAGCTTTGCTACATTAATTGTTTGATCAAAGACCTTGGTTTAAGTGACATATCAAATACTGCCACATCCACGGGCAGTGTGTTAACTGAGAAAGAAATATGCCAAAGCCATCATTACTATGAACCTTCGGATTGACTCTAGACATGTCAATTCCACTGTTGTACTAGATTCCAAAGCTCCGTACAAAGAGAGATATATTGCCAGCAAATGTACCATTAAATCAACACGATCAAGGAAGGATCTTCTAATATTCACAGAAAGCATTTGAGACAAGCCGAAATAATATCATGTGAATTTCTCAAAGGATTTGTTTGAATATTTGCAATTTCAGAAGAGAACCAAACTCAGTTATCTCAAAACAACTGATCGTTCAACTTTGTACACCACTATCCCACGTGACAAACTTCATTCCTTGATTCGTGTTGCATTTGTTACTTAACGTGACTTGACATACGGTTACATGTCACTCTTCAGATGTCCAGGACAAACAGTTATGCAAACACCATCTAAAGTTTACTGAGGAAGCAATATGTAAAATGTTGGAGTTCCTCATTTGTACACAGCATCAATGTGGAACTTGGGGATAGGGCATTTCATATATCTACATAGGGAAAGGTTATAAATGTCATATATGAATAGAATTGTACTAAAATATGATCAAGAAAATTAATAAATGAGAAAAAGGAAACATGGAAATTCAGCCATGCGTCACATTAAGATAAAAAAGTATTTAAAGATCGCAGCCGGATTTTGAGACAATGGAATATTGACGAGTGCATGTTCTGAAGTTATTTTAAACCATGGCATCGAAAACCAGCAAACAATCACCGGAATGTCACACGTTCGATACAAACCACTTACCAGATGAATACTAGTTTCAACACACATCATGCTTTTTTATATAAAAAGGTTATTGAGGTCCTTGTGAGGTCGGGCGTTGTCTTGTTTTAAAATGATGTTTGCTTGTTGCATAATGGGAAAGACGTGTGGCCGAAGAATATCATTCGTGTAACGTTGTGCCATTACATTCCCTTGAAATTGGACCAAGTCTATTCCACCAGTGAAAGAGATGGCTACCCACATCATCACACTACCACCGCCAAATCTGTCCATAACATTCTCACCGACGCCTGTTAACACGACGTCGCTCAGCCGTACGGCGAAGCATAAAACGTGACACTAAACCAAATTTATCTCCATCGCAGTTGAGACCATTCTATGTGACCCTGACATCACTGACGTCGCAGACGACGATGCAGGTCCGTCAAAATGACTCAAAGAAACGGTCGTCTAGCGCGAATACCTTCATCGCGTAAACGGTTCCATACTCTCCGGCCAGATATCCTACGCAATTCTGGTATTGCCGTAGTTGTAGAGGTGGTCGTGGTGGTTCTTTCACGTAAGTGACGTAGCCGTATGAATCTGTCCTGTGCTCTAGTAGTTGGATGCGACCGGATCTGGAAAGGTCCCGTGTAATTGATAACGGTTCCAACGTCTTGTAACGGTGATTGGAAAAACCTGACTACGGCCGAATATGATTCGTGGTTGCGTTGGGCTTCCGTCAGTCGTGGTATGTTTTCGCTGTTCACTTTCTGTAAGATTGTAATGGCATACAAATGTAAACCCAACGTGATGTCGCACGTGCATGTAATGTTGTTGCGTTTCGGCGCCAGACTCTCACGTGGTGGTGTTCTTGAGATTTTTTCCATATTTTCACAACTTTCTGCAGTTACTAATTCTTCCACACAAATCAATCCAAATGCATGCAGAAATGACCAGTTCATCTTTGATAATAATTTTGTATGGATGTCGGCAAAACTCGGACACTCGGCAACACTGTCATATATTTACGACTTTACTACTGTTGCGTTTCTTTTTGTGCAGAGTATATTTTATTTAACGAACTTACACACATATTTGTTTTAAGAAATGCATTTTTCTTTCAGTGAACCTGGGATATGGAACCTGGGGTATTGAGAATAATGAGTGCAAATTTTGAATAATCGATAACCATCTGTTGATTATTTGTATCATAAAATATGCATCTAAAATCCATCTTGCGTTTCTTTTTTTTGCACAGTATACATAGTCGACGTATTTTTCAAGATCTTCCCGAGGCTCCACAAACATTTTGAAGTTGATTTGTGATTATGTGTCCATGGTAATATGAACTCTTCCAAACAACGGCAACGAATTTGCAGTTCTCATACTTTTTTGTCTTTCATCTTGAGGATTTGCCTGCGGTGTATTGATTCCTAACTTCAGAAAGTACCAATTGATTTCTTAACAGAGTCCAGATCAATAGTTCACAAAGTAGATACGGTTAAATGGTTTCAGAGGCAGCGATTTTCGTTTAGCAAAGGGAAGAAGTTTACCAGAGTTTTCAACATTCCAAAAGGGTCGCTCGTCAAGATGGGAGGCGATCCTTTGCTGTTGTCGCGTTTGGTATGGGTGGGTTTCCTATGTGGACAATGCAGGTCCCTTGGCCTGGAATGTGACGGCTGTGAAGTTCTACAGTCTAGAAAGCTGGACATTGTTCCGATGTTTGTAGCCAAGGTGTCTGTGTTCCAGCAGTGTTGTAACCTTTGCGCCAGCATGGAAGGGTGCGGCGCAGTCAACTATAACGTCAATACAAGACACTGTGAACTGCTTCATGTCGCCAGCAAAGGTGGAAATGTAACAAACTCAGCATCGTACATTTATGGTATCTTTAAGCAAAAACGTGGACAGGTAAATATAAAAAAGCTATTATGATTTTCAAATGTTTTTATTTGTACATGTACCATACGATTCGGTTGCCCATATAAGCACAGGACCAAATTAAATAACCTTCAGAAACAATTTCATAATATTTACATTTATATGTATTTACAATAGTGGAAGTAGTCAAGGCTGTGAGATAGGATGCATTTATTCTTTATGAAGTTTGAAATATCCCCGAAATATTGAAAAGGTCCCGTTTGTTTTTAGACACTCAACAAATAGTATTTTTGCTGTAAAAAAATATCATTTGCAAAAAATCGAGTTTATAGATAAAGATATGTATCGTGATTACACCACGCAAAAGTTACTTTTCCTCGTACTCGCTTGAACTTTCATGAATATACGTACATGTCAATACTGTCTATATTCCTTTGACTGCAGACAGAAAAGAACCTGTGCAGGACTCGTCCATGTAAAGCCAATCAAATTTGTGTGATGACTTCATCGAACGATGATCACATTTGCTGCGAAGGTATATACAGACTTCAACTTATTGACCGATCATTTGCTATTCGTGCCAGGGGAGAATATGAAAACCTTGGTACCTTTATATATTTCAACGTTATCAAGTGACCATCTGAATAATCAAACTAATATCACATGATATTTGATGTTTAATGTAAATAGGTTCAAAAGTAAAAAAGATTCAATACACCATTAACAAAGATAGTTTAGATTGACGTGAATTCAACAATAGTTTTACAGAGGTTAATGGTGTCGGTAGATTCAATATTAGGCTGTCGCAGATTCAGCAGAAGCTATACAAAGATTGAATTCAGAGCTACAGATAAGCAGCGTATGAGCATAAAATACCAACACCCCCAACACCCCCAATTAAAGTAGAAACCCTAGAGTAAAAACTCAATTGCTCAAAACGTTATCTGGAGCTCTGAATTGAACGTAACTAAACATTCAACATGATTAAATGTCAAAACAAATTGGGAAACATGTTGTTTATGTGCACAATTACCTAATGGTGTCACGGAACAGGTGGCACCTGTAGTAACCCACCTGCTGTCAACCGTATGAAGGCGGAGATGGACTTCGTGACACTGACCACGGGTCAGGCCAGCTACAGCTGTGACACGGGCTACCAGCCCCAGGGCACGTCAGGCATCAGTGAATGCACAGATGGGTCTGGCTGGTCCCAGGTTACCCTTGTGTGTCAGGGTAAGATATATCTACTCAATACCTCTGTTGTGTGTCAGAATACCTCGTCACCTCCCAAAGTCTACCTTGTATGTCAGAGTAAGTCTTCTCCTCCCAAAGTCTACCTTGTATGTCAGAGTAAGTCTTCTCCTCCCAAAGTCTACCTTGTATGTCGAGTAAGTCTTCTCCTCCCAAAGTCTACCTTGTATGTCAGAGTAAGTCTTCTCCTCCCAAAGTCTACCTTGTATGTCAGAGTAAGTCTTCTCCTCCCAAAGTCTACCTTGTATGTCAGAGTAAGTCTTCACCTCCCAAAGTCTACCTTGTATGTCAGAGTAAGTCTTCTCCTCCCAAAGTCTACCTTGTATGTCAGAGTAAGTCTTCTCCTCCCAAAGTCTACCTTGTATGTCAGAGTAAGTCTTCTCCTCCCAAAGTCTGCCTTGTATGTCAGAGTAAGTCTTCTCCTCCCAAAGTCTACCTTGTATGTCAGAGTAAGTCTTCTCCTCCCAAAGTCTACCTTGTATGTCAGAGTAAGTCTTCACCTCCCAAAGTCTACCTTGTATGTCAGAGTAAGTCTTCTCCTCCCAAAGTCTACCTTATATGTCAGAGTAAGTCTTCACCTCCCAAAGTCTACCTTGTATGTCAGAGTAAGTCTTCTCCTCCCAAAGTCTACCTTGTATGTCGAGTAAGTCTTCACCTCCCAAAGTCTACCTTGTATGTCAGAGTAAGTCTTCTCCTCCCAAAGTCTACCTTATATGTCAGAGTAAGTCTTCACCTCCCAAAGTCTGCCTTGTATTTTAGACAAAGCCGGCACCTTCTAAGTATGTCAGAGTAATTCGTCACTCCCCCTGTATGTCAGAGTAAGTCTTTACCTCCCAAGTATGTCAGAGTAAGTCTTCACCTCCCTTGTATATCAGAGTAAGTCTTCACCTCCCTTTCTGTGTCAGGGTAAGTCTTCACTTCCCTTGTATGTCAGAGTAAGTCGCCACTTTCCTTGTATGTCAGAGTAAGTCTTCACCTCCCTTCTATGTGAAAGTAAGTCTTCACCGCCCCTGTATGTCAGAGTAAATCTTCACCTCCCAAGTATATCAAAGTAAGTCGTCATCTCCCTTGTAAGTCAGAGTAAGTCTTCACATCTCTTGTATGTCAGAGTAAGTAGTCACCTTACTTGTGAGTCAGGGTAAGTCTTCGCCGCCCCTGTATGTCAGAGTAAGTCTTCACCTTCCTTGTATGTCAGAGTAAGTCTTCACCTCCCTTGCATGTAAGAGTAAGTCGTCACCTCCCAAGTATGTCAGAGTAAGTCGCCACCTCCCAAGTATGTCAGAGTAGGTCGTCACCTCCCAAGTATGTCAGAGTAATGCGTCACCTTCCTTGTATGTCAGAGTAAGTCTTCACCTCCCTTGTATGTCAGAGTAAGACGTCACCTCCCTTGTATGTCAGACTAAGACGTCACCTCCCTTGTATGTCAGAGTAAGACGTCACCTTCCTTGTATGTCAGAGTAGTCTTCAGGTCCCTTGTATGTCAGAGTAAGACGTCACCTCCCTTGTATGTCAGAGTAAGTCGTCACCTCCCTTGTATGTCAGAGTAAGACGTCACCTTCCTTGTATGTCAGAGTAAGGCGCAACTTTCCTTGTATGTCAGAGTAAGTCGTCACCTCCAAAGTATGTCAGAGTAAGTCTTCACCTCCCTTGTATGTCAGAGTAAGACGTCACCTCCCTTGTATGTCAGAGTAAGACGTCACCTTCCTTGTATGTCAGAGTATGAGGTCACCTCCCTTGTATGTCAGAGTAAGTCGTCACCTTCCTTGTATGTCAGAGTAGTCTTCAGGTCCCTTGTATGTCAGAGTAAGACGTCACCTCCCTTGTATGTCAGAGTAAGTCGTCACCTCCCTTGTATGTCAGAGTAAGTCGTCACCTCCCAAGTTTGTCAAAGTAAGTCTTCACCTCCCTTGTATTTCGGAGTAAGACGCCCACTCCATTGTATGTCAGAGTAAGACGTCACCTTCCTTGTATGTCAGAGTAAGAGGTCACCTTCCTTGTATGTCAGAGTAGTCTTCAGGTCCCTTGTATGTCAGAGTAAGACGTCGCCTCCCTTGTATGTCAGAGTAAGTCGTCACCTTCCTTGTATGTCAGAGTAAGAGGTCACCTTCCTTGTATGTCAGAGTAGTCTTCAGGTCCCTTGTATGTCAGAGTAAGTCGTCACCTCCCTTGTATGTCAGAGTAAATCTTTACCTCCCAAGTATGTCAAAGTAAGTCATCATTCCCCTTGTATGTCAGAGTAAGTCTTCACCTCCCTTGTATGTCAGAGTAAGTCTTCTCCTCCCTTATATGTAAGAGTAAGTCTTCACCTCCTTGTATGTCAGAGTAAGTCGCCACTTTCCTTGTATGTCAGAGTAAGTCTTCACCTCCCTTGTATGTCAGAGTAAATCGCCACTTTCCTTGTATGTCAGAGTAAGTCTTCACCTCCCTTGTATGTCAGAGTAAGTCTTCTTCTCCCAAGTATGTCAGAGTAAGTCTTCACCTCCCTTGTATGTCAGAGTAAGTCGCCACTTTCCTTGTATGTCAGAGTAAGTCTTCACCTCCCAAGTATGTCAGAGTAAGTCTTCTCCTCCCTTATATGTAAGAGTAAGTCTTCACCTCCTTGTATGTCAGAGTAAGTCGCCACTTTCCTTGTATGTCAGAGTAAGTCTTCACCTCCCTTGTATGTCAGAGTAAATCGCCACTTTCCTTGTATGTCAGAGTAAGTCTTCACCTCCCTTGTATGTCAGAGTAAGTCTTCTTCTCCCAAGTATGTCAGAGTAAGTCTTCACCTCCCTTGTATGTCAGAGTAAGTCGCCACTTTCCTTGTATGTCAGAGTAAGTCTTCACCTCCCAAGTATGTCAGAGTAAGTCTTCACCTCCCTTGTATGTCAGAGTAAGTCGCCACTTTCCTTGTATGTCAGAGTAAGTCTTCACCTCCCAAGTATGTCAGAGTAAGTCTTCACCTCCCTTGTATGTCAGAGTAAGTCGCCACTTTCCTTGTATGTCAGAGTAAGTCTTCACCTCCCAAGTATGTCAGAGTAGGTCGGCACCTCCGAACTCCCTAGTGCCTCCCTTGTATGGCAGAGTATGTTGCCAGTGTCATATCCCAGCGCATCCTTTGTATGTCAAAGTCGTCACCTCACAGTGCCTCCCTTGTGTGCCAGATAAAGTCGTTGCGAGACGTAAATGTGAGCTGTACTTACACGCTATACTCACGTTTGTGGAAAAGATATATTGTTAATTTGTATTACATGTAACATCAAGACAGATATGTAAAAGCTTATATTTGATTATTATAACACGCTCGTGTTTCACGTAAATCATGCTCTAGGTGTAAACTGTGGCCGTCCACCGCCTCAATCCAACCGGAACGTGACCTCAGTGACATCCACCCTGTACCTGGACCAGGTGAGCTACAGCTGTGACGTGGGCTACTACAGAACTGACGGGGAGGGCACGAGTGTCTGTCAGGAGGACGGGGTGTGGTCAGTTCCCACACTCCAGTGTCAAGGTGAGTTGCTGCCCCCAATGTCACTGTGATGAGCTAAAGTTGTGCTTGTCATATGTGGTTGTCATGGTTAATAAAGTTGACAGTTTCACTCGAGGCACGGATGACATGTTTATCTCATCTCAATGCCTGATGAAGTTCATGGGTTGCAGATCTGCTGCAGTAAACAAATTATTTACAGATAATAAGCAGGTCATGAGATGAGATAAACATAACTTTTGACAAGAAGAGACACATTTTCTTTTCATTGTACATATTCTTACTAACCATAGTCTGAAAAACATGTGTCTTTGAAGCGAGTGAAAATCATTCCGGTATGAAACGTTCTTTCACAAGGTGAAATAACATGTTACCTTTGCTCGAGTAAAATATTGACTTTAAGGGTGAAGTTTAGGATGAATATAGAATTTTATTACAAAAGACATCCTAAATAAATCCTTATGATTGCCTGGATGTGCATGTTCGCCTTGGCTAGGCTGATTTGATTTAGAAACTGTTCACAAAGACACAATGTGTATTCCTTCCAGTCCATGTATCAAGTTATATATTTCCATGCACAATACAAATCAAAAACGATAACTTTGCTCGAGTGAATTAATTGATTTTGTATTTGAGGATGAATTTCAAAGGTCCTCTGGCTTCCTTGGTAACACATGTTCGCCTCGGGCTCGTCTGATTTAGTTCAGAAACTGCCCATAAAACCCCTCATGTTTATCAAGCTTGTTCATGTGTCACTTATTGTGCCATTACAGTAGAACCAATGACGTAATGTGAAAAGAAATGTATGTATTATTCTTGAGGCTTGAGTACAAAGTGACGTTAACTGTTAATTGCACCATCAAGTAATTAACGTTCAATATCGGCAGCATAAACTGTTTTCGAATATATTGAAGATGAGGTGAAATGGGGTTTAACGTCGCGTCCAAGATTATTGCACTCATATAGCGACGTGCATGTACGTGTGTGTGTTTGTGTGACTGCTTGTACTAGTCCGGACTGATGCCGATTTATAGTGCTAGCACATTGAGATACCATGCCGCAGTTAAACATGAATACCCCACTCAGACACAGTATGCTGACTCCGAGCCGACCAGTCCTTGTTTTAGCCTCTTAATGCAGAGCGCCAGACAGGGTAGCAACAAGTACCATTATTTAACGTATCTTGGTATAACGCGGCCGAGGATCGAACCCCGCACCTTTCGCTCTCCGGGCGGCCGCTCTACCACTAGACCACGGAGGCGGTCTTAAATTGATTGAAATTTCTATGGATCAAATAATGGATCCCATGAAGAGTGATAATGAAACAGTTGATATAGCGGCCACATTCAATGACTCCCGCGAGGTAGAATTCCAGTTCAATTCTACATAATCGATCGAATATGCGTACAGAAAGCCGGCTCGCATGTTTTTTCACCTTTGCATTGTCGTGTGAGGAAAGATGGGATGTTGTTGCTATGTGACGGTATCATCATGGCGAGACAGTGCATGTCGGGAGCGCACACACAGCAGGCAATATGCATGTTTAGGGCGGGGGCCTCATCACTACAGGTTGCTGGTGATCGCAATAAATCAATTAGGACCACCACCCACAGGCAATGAAGGGATCGAACTGAGGGTAATCGGTATTTGAAAAGTACATTCCTCGAGCAGTTGTGTAGGTACAAACATGTCAAGTTGACCAGTTTCTGAAGAAAACGCACATTTGGCTTCACCTACACATGGTGTTGTAAAAAATGGCGTTTTATTATATAACTTGCTTTATTATAGATCTCCTGCTTTTTTCAATTTTCTGTTTTAAAATCACGTACATCTGTACTGTTTTAGTGAACAGTGAGAAAATGTTAACATTCTTTCCATATGATGAATTTTAAATGTGAAGTAAAAAAATATCAGCATCTAAAAATGAAGAAAGAAATCAATGACTCTAGCCAACTCTAATGCAGCAGCCTCACCCAAAGCAGGGGCGGTCGGGTAGCCTAGTGGTTAAAGCGTTCGCTCGTCACGCCGAAGACCCGGGTTCGATTTCCGACATGGGTACAATGTGTGAAGCCCATTTCCGCATTGCTGGAATATTGCTAAAAGCGGCGTAAAACCATACTCACTCACTCACTCACCCAAAGCAGTCCCAGACGATGACAGGCAGTTATTCACTTATTCACACGCGTTTTTATCATTTAGATTCGCAGGATTTAAACATACAAACATTGACCATGGATTTTACATTAAGTAATGCACTTTCCGTAAGAGCATATATAACTGACTTTTATATGTTTGTACGAACTCTTTACACAAGAAATAATTAGACCATGAGGTAAATGGCTAATAATTTTCTAATAAAAAAGTGTGGATGAGGTGTTCCGAAAAACAACATGGTTAATTTATGCTCGTGAATAATTAACACTGTAATTCAAAAGGTGTTTGTAAATACTTTGTTTTTGTAGTCGTTGACTGTGGAACACCTGCGGATATTCCTGAAATGGTTGCATCCGCAGAGGAAACAATCTACATGAGTGTGACCAACTACACCTGCAGTCCTGGATTAGAACCTGTGAATGGCACCGGGGTCAGTGAATGTCATGCTGACGGTGTGTGGAGTCGCCCTACACTGACCTGCACTAGTATGTACTTTGTCTAGTTTAGGACCGGCCATTTAATATTCTAGGTATGGGGTCGGGGTGGGATGGGTGTTGGGCTGGGATTTTATCGAAAGAAAGAAATTGTACCCAAATCTTTTTCTATGCTACAGATTGTTGAAAAAAGAGTAAATATACGCACGTCTAGTAATTGTTGGAAGGTGTTTTTTTGTTTAAAAAAGCAGGCTTTTATTTAAAAATATCTGGTTTCGTAGCTCTAGATGAAAAAAACCAACCCCAAAACCAACCCAACCCAGAATATCACATGGTTAGGCCCTTTGTATTTTATCATTTTGGTCTTGGCCCACTCAATTGTCGAGCTACGTGTCTGGCGTCTTTGGAATCCAAAAATGTATTTGTTTAACACGGATAATAATTAAATGATTGTTGATATGTGACACGGTTCATAATGTGTAACATGTCCTCAGAGAAGGACTGTGGCCATCCACCGCCTCAATCAAACCAGAACGTGACCTCGGTGACATCCACCCTGTACCTGGACCAGGTGAGCTACAGCTGTGACGTGGGCTACAACAGAACTGACGGGGAGGGCACGAGTGTCTGCCAGGAGGACGGGGCGTGGTCAGTTCCCACACTCCAGTGTCAAGGTGAGTTGCTGCCCCCACTGGTACTGTGATGAGTTAAAGATGTGCAGGACAAGCCTGGTTAGTGTGTGAGTGAGTGAGCTGGGTTTAACGCCGCTTTTAACAATATTCCAGTTATATCGCGGCGTGTCAGCTTAATGTGGGAGGAAAGCCCGAAGTGATGCAGGTCTAAGAGGTTTACCACTTCGGTGAAACCCACGAGCACGGGTATGGTGCTGACAAACCTAGAAACATAATCGGGACGAACCGGGATTCGATCCCACAATCATAGGTTTCTGGGGTGCCCAAGGGACGCAACTCTGCACAGCGAATCGCGGCGCCTTAGACGACTGGGCCACCCGTGCCCCCGACAAACCTGGTTAGAATGGTCTTCTCCCACTACAGGAACTATATGAGAATGGCGAGATTGCTTACATGTGCTTGTATTACGTACATATGCAAGATGAGTATGTGGTGTGAAATTACATCTGAACCAGGAACAAAAGTGTCCGAGGAAGTGTTCAGTGTAAACATAAGTTGGCTACATACATTTTTGGTTTTAGCCTTAGACATAGAGTTTACGCTCTCTTTGTTAGCATATCACATGATTGTATTATTTTTCGCCTAGTGCTAAATCCGCCAAAACTGAAAACTCTTTCCACAATCATAAGAAATATCTGCATAAAGCAGAGTCTATATATTGTACGATTCCTACTATATCATGAGCATATGTTTATAATTCACTATCAAGTAGTGATGATACAAGGTGTTCGCGAAAAGGTGAGCGTATCCTCCCCCACCGGTGGCATCTGTCACAAACACATGCAAAGGCAAGTCAATTGTTCACCTGAACAAAAATAGGGAATATATGGTAGGGAAGTGCACATCAGAAATCATCTTGGTAACTGATGCTTCAAATTTAGAGGTGTCCTCCGCATGTCTACCATAAATCATTTTGAAAGCTTTACTGAGGACATGAATGTTGTAACCCTGGTCAACAACAAGAATCATATGACAATCTTTGTAATGTTCGCAGAAAGGGCATGCTCAGTTGTTCCTCAAGAGATGTGAAATGTAGACACCAGAGGTACGAGCTGCTTAATATTGCTCTACATAAAGGAAAGTTGATTATTGGAAAGTTGAAGTCATCCCCCTTATCATACAATAGCATTTACATTACAAGCGATGTACCATCTTTTGAACAGTGGTTGAATGTGGGGCGCCTCCAGACAGGGATGGTATGGAGAAAGGTGGCGCTAACTCTACGGTGTATCGGAGTCAGATGACCTACAGCTGCAGTCCCGGGTTTGATTTCGTGGGTGGCGAGGGCTCTAGCATGTGCCAGGCTAATGTATCTTGGGGAAAACCAAGCTTGAACTGTACAAGTAAGAACGACTTATGTCTAGCTTATGTCTAATGAACTAGCATGTCTCTGAGTCGTGTATAGATATACCTCATGAGTTTCCCGAATAGTAATGGGTACACCTACATGTGCTCCTCGTCGAACAGGTACCTGATAATATAAAACGTTAACTGGTGAATTATGCTATCAAAATAATGCATGTACAAATTGTTTGACATTAAAACAACCTGAACATATTTCACTTCCATCATGGCAGAGTGGCTGGTACTATATTTATAGCTATTTTCTAAAGGATCGTCGGAACATGATTATCATGGTAACGCGAGGAACTATTCATACAACACACAGCGGAACGAAGAAAATAATACGAATATTTCATTAATCCAATGTGTTCTGTCTTTGGTACATACTTGTGATCAAACAAGAGTGGAACGTCAAAGAATGACGGCAAACTATTGCTTTGTGACAGTAGCTGTATGTCGAGAGCATACTGCACCATGAGTGCTGCACACGTGACAGTCAGTAGGCGTGATCAGATCGACATGTTGCCAAGACGTATGGGTGTGGAATTGGCATAAACAAATCAATGATTGAAAAGGATCGGAGTAGACTAAATATAACTACAGCCCGTGAACACCGTCACATAGGACACATGGCATCAAGGGGTAGATTTAGGACGTAGTCAAACTTAAAAGACGAGTTCAGTGCGATTATTTGTTTGTTTGTTGTTTATCGCCGCACTCAGCAATATTACAGCTACATGACGGCGGTTTGTAAATAATCGAGTCTGGACCAGACAATTCAGTGATTGATATCCTAAGCATCAATCCAATCAATTGGGATACGATGACATGCATCAACCAAGTCAGCGAGCCTGACCACCGTTTGTCCCTTCTTACGACAAGCACAGTCGCCTTTTTACGGCATGGGTTGCTGAAGACCTATTCTACCCCGGATCTTCAAGGGTCTCAGGGCGATTAAGTGATCGACCTACTCGACGGAAAACCCCATTTCATCTCACCTCACCTCAAATTGTTGGATTTCAAGTAACGTTCAGGAGATAAAGATGATGTATGTCACATTTGAGTATTCGGTGTCGGAAACTGTCATACGGAAAATCTCATATTGACCACAGTTACACTAACATATAATACTTGCACATATTTCAAATTAAACAAAACACGTCGCTAATTCCATGAGTCAAAACGTGTATTATAAACCTGTTTGCTTCCATATTACAGATAGCAGTCTCATGTGAATGTTTATTAGGGACATTGCTGATTTTATTTCAGTCTTGTTATGCTTCAGGGAAGGATTGCCAGGCGCCCACGTTGATCACCCACATGACCGTCAACAGGACTTCGACTCTGTATGAAAGCGAGGCTGAGTACACGTGTAGCGTTGGTTATAACGCCACGGGGGGACACGGACGTGTCATGTGCCAAGCTGACGGAACGTGGGAGACACCGTCCATCACATGCGAAAGTAAGAAAAACATCTTGTTGTGACACACCTTCATTATCGACCCTACGACACCCACTGAACCATCCCACCCTGTCATCCGAATGTGTACAGCATGTCGGACCAAAGTGCATATTTGTTTCAAGAACATCTTTTTTAATAGATACAAAAGAAAGTCTGATTGGAACAACCATTTGAATACTAGCAACATTGTCATATAAATCATGAGACTAAAAATATTCTTTTCAGATGACTAAATTCTTATTGAAAAGCACTGGTAGTTGATCTACTGCCAACGTGGTAACAATTTACATTGAGCTCAGGGGCCCACTTGCACAAAACGATCTCAGCGCTAAGATGATCGTAACTCCCATACTTTAACATTGGCTTACGATAGTCATAGAGCGACGGTCGCTTTGTGCAAGTGGGCCCTGAACTGATTTAAGGTGACCTCAGCGTGAATGGGAAATAGGTTTTTTTTCCTACCGACGAAACATAAGGGAACTGATGAAATAATAGTGAAGGTGTAATGATGATAAATATGTGTAAAATTAATTTCGGGTGGGTTGATCAATATCTGGTGTGTCCACCATGTTGGGCGATACTTGCACGACACCTTTATCACATACCATCGATTAATTTGCGTATGTTTTCCCTTGGTATTGCCCGCTATTCCGCCTGAAGAGCCACCCCAAGAAGATCCCCAGATGCCTATTGGGAATATGTCAGGGGACTAAGCGGGCAAGTCAAATGTCCGTATGCTTTCTCGTCGGAGATAGTTCGTGACGACCTGGGCACGATGGGGTCTGCCATTATCATCTTACAGTTCAAAACTTTCTGCCGATAATTCTTGCAGATGGAACGACAGGATCAAAATTTCGTCAAATTTCACTATAACCAGGTCTGTTCATGTGTGATACCGCTCCACGCCATAACACTACCGCCCCAATACTGATCATGGTCAAGAATTGTTGCCCTGGCATGCGCTCGCCGCTACGTCGCCAACAATTTTTTCTGTCATCTGTGAATCGGAGCCCCAAACTCCATTCGACTGTAAACATGGTAATCGCTATTGGCGCACAGCCCATCCCTGGTGTTGCATAGCCCACCCAAATCTTTGACCACAATGGTAGGCTGTTAGGGTCACAGGACGCCTTGCTTTCAGGAGGGCTGGATAGAGGCGTTTTTTAACGGCAGATATTGAAAGTCGCCTTCCTGTTATTGTACGGAATTCTCTATTGATAACAGGACCAGATCTGCATCTATTGCGTAGTGCGATTAATGTAATAAGATGCGACAATATTGTCTAAGTGTCGTTTTTAGACGGGCCACCCCTATGTCTCATTTTAAACCCTCTTGTTTGAGAAATTACACTTTGTGATTTACCAAACATTCGGGCAACTTGGGATACTGACGTGCCCCCTTCTATCGTACACACAATTGGCCATTTTGTCTGCTCATTGAGAAACGGCATCGGAAGCATTTTTGAGCGTTTGTATTAGTGATTTTGAGTTCCCCTATAGGCGCACACACTTTATCTTCTGTTTGCACGTGCATCACGTGCTTTTCATGCATGATGTAAAATTTTATTGTGATTAGATGCTGCGTTCAGATGCAACACCACTGTTTTGTAAATTTACCTCTCAACAACATCTACGTTCAAATCATTAGTTCCCTTATTTTTTGTCGGTAGCATACGTGAGAATATTACGAATTGCAGATATTGCACCAAACAGGTTTTCTACATAAATTACCATGATAACAGTTCATGACGAAGGATTTACACTAAAGGTATCACTCGATCTCCACCCGTACTGACTGGAATCCATATTGAAACTTCTTTCGTGACCATCACAACCCAGATAGTCTTGAACTTTAAATAACTGTTCAAATTGATTACATTTTCTCTTATCTTCAAATCAAAGTGCATACCAATTTTAACCTGTCTCCATAAATGGCGGTTTTGTTATACGACCTATATAGGGCGGGGTCGGGCGTTACACGGTTTACAGTGAGTGAGTGAGTAAGTATGGTTTTACGCCGCTTTTAGCAATATTCCAGCAATATCACGGCGGGGGACACCATAAATGGGCTTCACACATTGTACCCATGTCGGGAATCGAACCCGGGTCTTCGGCGTGACGAACGAACGCTTTAACCACTAGGCTACCCGACCGCCCCGTGTGCAGTGAAGTCAAATTATATGCCTACTCCACGGATGGACCCGTGAAGATCCGGGGTAGAATAGCAACCCATTCTTGCCGTGAAAGGCGACTAACGGGATATGGTGGTCAGGCTCGCTGTCTTGGTTGATGCATGTCATCGACCCCAATTGCGGATCGATGCTCATGATGTCAATCACCAATCTCATTAAAATCAGATCTTAGTTCTGGCTATCGCTTAACAAAGATCTGAGGACATCCCATTACGGGTCACGTCAGAACGACCTTTCATCCGACCAATCAATGCCCCGCTTACCAGATCATGAAAGTGACAGTCGGAATGTGTTTTCTAATCATGCGACCTCGAAAACGTTTACACGTTGTATTCCGAACGACAGTTACGGTCCGTAAGACTGATTCCGTCAAACTTATCGTCTATCTCTCGCTTCCGTAGGATAAACATTTGAACTGAGGAGGCGTTGCACAGTACGTGGGAAGCACTGTCGTACAATCTCAGCAATATATTAAACCTTTCGGAATGTTCGTTTGTTAAGTTTTCAAAATTTTAATCGAGAACTGTGTCAACATATTTTTCAAGCGTAATCTGAAATGGAAGTCGCCAGGTTAAAACGAGTTGCGTAAAGCTCGAGAAAGCTGCTTTCTAAATGGCGACTTTTTGTTATTCATTTCAGAGGTCGGTCAAAGTTCGCGAAGGTTCGTTCTGACGTGACCCGTAATGGGATGTCCTCGGATCTTTGTTTAGCGGCAGCGAGAACTTAGATCTGATTTTAATGAGATTGGTCAATCACTGGATTGACTGGTCCAGACTCGATTATTTACAGACCGCCGCCATATGGCTGGGATATTGCTGAGTGCGGCGTTAAACAACAAACAAACAAACTCCGTGGCTGACCAATGTTTTTTTGTAGTAGCGGAATACCCCGTGATCGTAATCTTCTTTAATGTTTTGCACGGGCGACTCAGCGACTTGAGGTGTTGCAACTGACTTACTTGAGGTGAGTCCTCTGCATCCGGGTTCGCATTGATTCGCATCATACCCGTGGTTTCAACAAATGGTAAACGTCTAAGACCTGCGTCATTGCAAGTGTTCCCCTAAAGCTGACACACCGACATAACTCAAATCGTACATGTACTTGTCCTAATAGCTCAGAAACACCATGTTCAGTTGTAGACTGTGGCTCACCTCCCGATACGGAAACTATGCAGTCTCCCCGGTCAGGAGGAACAAGCTACCAGACAACAGCGGTGTACAGTTGTAAGACGGGATTTACGCAGTCGGGAGACGGAACCAGTACCTGCCAGGCCGATGGAACCTGGTCCCCTCCCGCCCTGCAGTGTCAAAGTGGGTAACCGGCGTCTGTTTGTTAGGATTTGGAAAAAATGCATATGGACAGACAGACAGATTTGTTAGAGCAATGGTCGCCGTTTTACCGAAGAGGTTACTTTAAACTTTAAAATATGTAAATAGGTGCGTAAACAATCATGTTTACAGAGGTTGAGATTGGCCGCCCCTCCCCCTCCACACACACTCCTCTCCCCCACCCCCTCATCTAGTAACATTTCACTGTCTCTCTTTAAGTTAAGTGTTGCACTTTACCTGCACTACAATCAGCACACAGCAGCGATTTACCTTACAGTTGTGGACTGCGGAGACCCGGCGTTCTCAGGTGCCTACAGCGTCAACTTCAGTACAACGACGTACCTGTCATCAGCTAGCCTGGAGTGTGGCCTGGGGTACTACCCCTCCAATGGAGGGGATATAGTTGTGGAGTGCCAAAGCGACGGTAGTTGGTCAGACCCCATTCCCTCATGTGTAGGTAAGGCAAAAACCAACATATAAAGAAACATATGGAAAAACATAGAGAAATATAGCGAAAAGCCTTGTAAACTCTGGGGCCGTGAATAATGTGTCGAGTTATGCGTAGTCCGAGACAAGGGAGTGTTGCTAAGTCGACTTTCCGAAATGTCTTGTTATTCTCTTTCTACCTGCTTCTCCTGCTGTTGTTTCAGACACAACAGTATTTTAAATTCCCATTTTGCGCACTGTTCACTTCGTCAGATGACATCTAAGGTTACTGATTGGAAGTGTTACCACCAAATTTGAAGAGCTCAAATCAAGAGTGATAACTCTAAATGTCCGAGACGAAGTCGAATAGGCTATAGTGTTGATAAGAGTCTGCCAGTGCCATACACTCATTTCGCCTTTAACCGTGTATCGAGATAATGTGTATCGATAATAAGCTTTGTCCGTTGAAATGTCTCAATTTGACACCCTTTAGAACTCCCGCATCCGTCCTTGGGTCTATGTGAGACAGGTTAGGTCCGCAATAATTGAGTGGGTAAGTGAGTGATTTTAAGCACGGCTGCAGCTTTTTGGAAAAAGGAGGATGTATTTTGTGGTATAATTATGATCACAAAAAGCATGAAATATAATTTCCGTTTGATAGTTGTGTTATTTGTATTGAGTGCGCACACACGGCACACACCCTTTGGAGCCGCGTATGCTCTGTGTGAATGCTTGAGTGTGTTTACGTCAGTGAGTGAGTGTTTGGTCGGAAGAGGGCATGTAGTGCGATATTATCTGCCTAGTGTGTAGCATTGTATAAAGATTACATTGGCATGGTCTATTTCATCCACATAAGTCACGACTGTTTTGGGGGGCACGGGTGGCCTAGTCGTCTAAGGCGCCGCTATTCGCTGTGCAGAGTTGCGTCCCTTGGGTACGCCAGAAACCTATGACTGTGGGTTCGAATCCCGGTTCGCCCCGATTATGTTTCTAGGTTTGTCAGCACCATACCCGTTTCACCAAAGTGGTAAACGTCTGAGACCTGCATCACTTCGGGTTTTCCTCCCAAATTAAGCTGACACGCCGTGATATAACTGGAATAAGGTCAAAAGCGGCGTTAAACCCGCCTCACTCACTCACGATTGTTTTTTCCCTTTGCCAGTAGGAATACCCAAACTACTTGACGCTTGTGTGTATGGTTGTTTTGCTAATGCTTCAGCTATTCCGAGTTGGCAGCTGGCAGGGACGGGCGTCTCTCAGTCCAACCAGGCGAGTCTACAGTGCAGGGACGTTAGGTCATCTGGTCCAATCACGTGTGACGTTGACGAGATTCTCGCGGGATGTTCAACCATAGCCACGAATGTACGTACACGCATTGTCTTCCATAGCTGTCAGTCTGGGTAGGCATGTAGCAACTGCACGCAAACTTACGTTCCAGGGCAGGGGCTTGGCGGATTTCGCTGCAGTGATGTGCGTAGTATTTTCACATGTAATGACAATGTTATTACATTTCAGACTAATATACAATACAATTACGGACAGAGAGTGACGACCAGCATCTCCACCGGCGGTGTTCAATGTGAGGGGAGGACGAAATATGGTACTTTGATTATTCATAGATTATTGAATATCGTATGTTCATAACAATTATACGTGGGCGGGTCAAAGATTTCTAAGCCTGACTAACTTTCAACTGTGGGCCATAACAAAGTGGACTTGTCAATGTTGTACATTGTTTTAGTAGTTAATTGCAAGTGTATTTGGTCTGTTAATGTTTGTATATTAGTGGACCGCCTCCGTGGTCTTGTGGTAGAGCGTCCGCCCGGAGAGCGGAAGGTCCAGGGTTCGATCCCGGGCCGCGTCATACAAAAAGACGTTAAAAGATTGTACTTGTTGTTACCTTGTCTGGCGCTCGGCATCAAGGGGCTAAAACAAGGACTGGTCGGCTCGGAGTCAGTATATTGTGTCTGAGTGGGGTATTCATGTTAAACTGTGGCATGGTATCTCAGTGAGCTAGCACTATAAATCGGCATCAGTCCGGACAAGCAGCCACACACACACATACACGTGCATGCACGTCGCTATATAAGTGCAATAATCTTGGACGCGACGTTAAACCCAATTTCACCTCACCTTGTATATTAGTGACAGCCAGTTGAATGTGATAGGAGTTCAAATGGACACATAAATAGAAAAGAACGAGTACCGAGCAGTCATCACGTTTTTGACTTTAGAGAAAAGTACTCCCCAAGAAATTCACGACCGCATGTCACAAGTGTATGGGGATAAGTGTCCTAGCTATTTCACTGTTAAACATTGGGCAGCTATGAGAACAAGCCTTGATGATGACCCTTGGTCTGGACGTCCCTCATCTTCTATCAATGAAGATTCAATCAAGGGGATAGACTGTCAGATAGACGTATTTACATTGTTGAACTTGAGGAAGAAAGACACGGGTATAAGCCATGGATCCATTGAAACAATTATTCATGAACATTTACATATGAATAAGATATCTGCTCGTTGGGTGTCAAAGTTTCTAAATTCTGATCTTAAGGAAAAAAGAACTGACATTGGCAGAGAAAATTTAGAGCTAATTGATGAGGATTTCGTCAAATTCAAAAAGAGATTAGTAACGGGTGATGGAACATGGGTCTACCACTATGATCCCGAGTCAAAACGTCAATCCATTGAATGGCACCATTCCACTTCTCCAGCACCAAAGAAATGCAAGTCTTCAAGATCAGTAGAGAAAGTTATGGCCACAGTATTCTGGGATGTAAAGGGTGTGATCCTTGTTGAGTACTTAGAAAGGCAAAAGACGATTACCGGTGCCTACTGTGCTACGTCGTCTGAGAGATTTTTTCAAAGAAAAGCGTCGAGTAATGCTGACTGCTGGAGTTCTACTACTTCATGACAATGCCTCTTCTCACAGCTCTCGACTTGCAAAGGCTACTGTGCGACAATGTGGGTTCGAAGAGCTCTTCACCCTCCATACTCGCCAGACCTGGTATCAAGTGATTTCCACCTGTTTCCTAAACTGAAAAAATACCTTCGTTGAACGCGCTATGACCACAACGATGACCACAATGCTGCCGTGAATGGGTTTTTCAGGTGGCTTAAGAAAGCTTCTCCTTGACTGGAATTAAAAAGTTTAACTTTTAATATGAGAACTGTATTGAAAAGCAGGGAGATTATGTTGAAAAATAAAATGAAAAATTGGTTTTGTTTGTTATGCTCAGAACTTTTTGATCAGCCCTATTTTATGTCATGGCAAGGTTTGTCTTTCCATTTCACTTTTTAACATAGAAATCGATTGTTTATTTCTTTTTCTGCATTTTATTAATAACTAAATGATTGTAGGTGGTAACGTCTTGAATAAATATATATTTTGTTGTGGGTCATACCGCGATAATACCAATAGTGTCTGTCGTAGGACGAATATTGCTTTCGACTTTTGTGGGGGAACGACTGCCATAGTCAATGTTCGTGGTCATGTAAACGTCATGTAAACTGGTTTTAAGGGGTCCTTCGAGTTTACTATATCCAGAGCTACTTGTTATTTCAGGTTCATACCCAGCTGATGCCCTGGCAAGATGCTGCAAACAGCGGGGTCTTCAGTGTGAATATATTCAGAGAAATAAATGTTATAAGAACTTCAAGATACTCGGTAAATATAGGTGACTCCTTCTCCATTGTCACAAGAATTCTCTTAAAAAGCATATAATTGTGACACCAGGTGTTTGCATGCAAAGGCAAGGCAAGACTTCACCTGATCAAACACCGGAAAAAAAGGGAACTGTATCGGACATATTTTTTGTCACTGATGCATCACATTTGGAAATGTCTTACCCTAAAACTAATAGCAATAAAACAATAAATGTACAAATGTACCGAGGGGTTTTGTCTTCAACTGGTTTAAGGAGCCAGTGACGCATCCCCACACGTATCTCTTCCTCAAGATGCGAAACCACAACGCGAATTGGACCAGTCTCGTGGGGTCTAAACACATTGATGTATGATTATTAACCGAATACGGTTCAACCAATTGTATTAGTTTTGAGATAGCTGTGTTTGCCTTAAAATAGCAGAATTTGTTCAAGAAAATATTTTATATCAGGATTTTCCAAAACACAAGTGTTGATTGTGTGCGGTGTTCGACGAGAGCGCGTGCCCGCAGGTCCATCGCAGGTAGATTTCGTGTCGGGCCCGTAGTACGGCCAGCAGTAAATTTACGTGTCGACTTATTGGTCTCTGTAACCTGCAGTTTGCGAAATGGAGAGTTCAGTCAGGGCCTGCAGCTTCTAAAGTCTGACTCCTGATGGCCGTCTGGCTTTGATTGTATGGCCTGAAAAACTATTAACTCACATTTCCTTCTGTTTTTACTTATTTTGCAGACTGTACCCTCTCATGCTACGAGAACAACTCGTACTGTTCACTGATACATACAAACCAATCTTGTGCAAAGCAATACTCATCCAGTTACGGTATCACAGGTATGAGAATGTTTCTCGGAACAACATAAAAACGTTAGCGTCACAATCGGAGATAGACTTTCAGTTTTGTAAACGGAAAAATGTGATAATGCTTTTAAAACACCGAACTCTTTAAGTTTTTCAAAGTTAAACTCAAATTACTTTCCAGTGGATCTCGCAGCAGAAGTAATGAAAGTGTGTACTTCTTATTCAAAGGTCGAAAGATAATCTGCTGCACAAGTCCTGGTCTGTCGTGTCACGTGATGTCGTTACAAGCCGGAACCGGAAACAACCTGACCTTGACCTGTGGTGCGGGGGAGGTGATGACCGGATGTAGCGGCTACATTGGGAATGGCATGCTGGGAGCTATCATTGAAGGTACGCACAGGAGGCGACTATCGGTAATGATGGCCTCAGACCACAATTAATTTCCTTCTTTGCTATCTACAGTGACATGACAGCCCACCATAATTATTATCAGTCGTAGGCTGTTCTCCTGTTGCATGCTGACCAACCTGCCACTTGTCACTTAAAACGCAAACTTACGTCCAGCATCCACCACCTTGCTTTCGCAGTAACCACTGTCAACAATGCTCACCGGAAGTTTCGAGCCGAAACACACACAGCGGCCTTCAACTTGGGGTCAAATCATGGGAAGCTGGAATCAATACCTTCACAGATTGGGGCTTACAAAAAATTGACAGCAAACTACAATGTCTTATCTTTCATTTAAGCTATCACAAGTCACTCCAAAAAAATTGCCACAGGCTGAACAGCCCATTTCAACTGGGTACTATATTCTCCTATTTTCCTTCCGGTTCATGGTAAAACTTAGGGGGGATAACTGTGGTCTGAGGCCTATCATGATGTTATTCACTGCTACGCCTAGGTATCCTGTGACCGGAAGTTGCATGGAGCAAAGAATGTGTTCATGTGTTTCTCTCAGATATCAAATCGATGATGATAGTTTCAATTTTGCATTTGTATAAGGTGTGCAGCTCGAATAATACAACCAGCGGCATAAAATAATACTCACTCACTTAGTCGGGTGTCCGTATAGGGAGTCGTATTCAACAGTTTTGTGTAGACCGAAGCTGAACAATATTTCCCTTTATTTATCTCCCTTCTTTATGTTATATGCATGCATATCGATTGTATTTTTATATGCAGTAAGAATGTTGAAAGACTAAATCATAATGTTACCCTTTAAGCTTTGATAACCTTCATGCCCCCTGTATTTTTTGGGTTTTGTTTGTTGTTTAAAGCCGCACTCAGCAATATTCCAGCTGAATGACTGCGGTCTGTAAATAATCGAGTCTGGACCAGACTGAGCATCGATCCACGCAATTGGGATACGATGACATGCGTTAACCAGGTCAGCGAGTCTGACCACCCGATCCCGTTTGTCGCCTCTTGCGACAAGCATTGTCGGTTTTTTGACGGCAAGCATGGGTTGCTGAAGACCTATTCTACCCCGGATCTTCACGGGTCTGTCCCCCTGTAAGTTAAGTCAAGGTGCGTCTTGGACATTCCCTCTTTAACAAGGGTCCTTATAAATAGATGTATGTGTATGATGTCACACGGCAATGGCGTTATTACAGTTGTTCGCACATTCCGAACTGGCGCCACGGTAGCCATATTGTGACATTTTGAGCCCGTTCTGCATGTGGCAATGCGTATTTTGTATTTGACTAGAATGTAGAAACAGTTTTTGAGGATTGTGATATGTTATAGTCTTGCAACACATTTGACTTAAACATCATGCCTCGCTTTCAAAATCTATTCCATAATATCTTGTGGAAATGCGCCCATGTAAAGCCATAACAACAACTGACATATATCACAAGATTTCTTTAACATAGCTGCCCCGCCCACCATATATGTCATTGGGCTTATTACTGAGTCATTTACTAAATGTGCATGCAATCGGAATTGTTTCTTCTTGCAGTAATCAACGGTGTGGACTCGTGTGTGTTCAAGCTAGGAACCAGTACAGTGAATGAGCTGCGTGGCTACGCTCACTGCTGCCGGAGTGGCTGAAACTGTAACATGACGTTACAACATCTTTAAAGGTATCCATCGAGCGTTCATTCCAATCGCTGCTTAGTCCTACGACCAGGCATACATGAGTCATATTTTTGGCCCATGTTCGTTATAGCCACACTGCTGTCTTGTGCTGAAAGAGAATTCCATTGTGGCATATTCAGCTTACGTGTAACGTTAGGTCTTCCAGCTTTTGGTTATGAGTCGATGGCTGCCTTTAAGTTATATCAGCTACAATAACGAACCCACTGTGCAGTCCTGGATATTATGAACGTTCAAGTATTGCGGAATATCTCACGTAGTAATGCGTGTGTGTGTGCGTGCGTGTGCGTGCGTGCGTGCGTGCGTGCGTGCGTACACACACACACATTGGCCACGGGGCGTCATATTAATTCACCCATGCTGTTTTTCCAAGTCATTCGTCGGAGTCTTAGGTCAACCGAGTCAAGCTGTGTTCGGAACCCAGACAACATAGTGTCTAAAGTGATTGTGTGTGGACCATGACTTAAGCAATGTTTCATTGTAACTGTATGTTCAAATCTTTGTAGCTGACGTCCCACGTAAAGATTGAGTCCTTTATTTAAGTATGTTAATTGTCAAAATTGTCCTTTGTAAGACGTAGACTGATTGACAAGGTTAATAAAGTAGCAAAATGGAGAGAATTGTTGAATGGTTCATATGGAACGAGTCTAGCCTAATCGTGCTTATTCTGAACCTGTGCCATGACCCACCCCCGGGTGACTCCCCACACCACCCACCCATACACGGACTACAACACAAAATGTATGGTCGGCCCCACCACTCATGCCTGGAGTACCTAAGCATTCTGTCCATTGCGACCTTTGCTCCCATTGAAGTGTTCTCTGTTAGTGGACCTCACTAAGGTCAAAAATGGTTTGTGATAAAAGGGTGTCCAATTTGAAATATAACATTCACCGTTAAATGCACCATTTTCATGCGCCTCTATACATATGTGGGTATATGTGCATACGTGTGTAGTCACCATATGGCTGAAATAGTGCCGATGTGACTTTAAATCTTAACTCACTCGCTCACGCATACGTGTGTAGAAATTCATACGTGAGAATACTTGTCATGTGAACACGTTTACTCACGCGTTGACACCAGGAGCAAATTTGCATCATGTCTGGAGCAGGTGCAAATGTAAATGTAAATTTGCACTGTGTGTATATGTTGCAATTTGAATGTTTATGTTGCAATGTGAATGTTTATGTTAACGCAAGAGGATGATCTAATTAATATCTGTTCTTTTGCCATCACCAAACAAATTGTCAACAGTTGCCAACTTTTTGGCGTATATACAGAGTCGAGTGGACGGTGTTTTCTTTTGGTTTCAAGGAGTCAAAACTTTGTGTTCAAATCAAATCAAACACATGTTGCTTCACGCGAAACTTTACGGTGAAGTAACTCTCTTCTCATTCAACTTTGATTGGGAAAAAAACCTGTTTTGTGTTGAACGTCTTGAACAGATTGAGGAATATGTGTGCCTTACACAATTTACATACTTTATTTACAGGCGTAAGTTGATTTTCATGTGAACGCATAGTAAACTTACATATACACACGCATGTTGGTTGGTTGGTTGGTTTGTTGTTTAACGCCGCACTCAGCAATATTCCAGCTATATGACGGCGGTCTGTAAATAATCGAGACTGGACCAGACAATCCAGTGATTAATATCATGAGCATCCATCCACGCAATCGATGACATGCATCAACCAAGTCAGCGAGCCTGATCACCCGATCCCGTTAGTCGCCTTTTACGACAAGCATATTCACCTTTTACGGCAAGCATGGGTTGCTGAAGACCTGTTCTACCCCGGAATCTTCACGGGTCTACACACGCATGTATAGTTACACATGTGAAAGATTACTTACGTTAGTAAATGTTTTGCATGTGAACGGGGTATAAGTATTGGGATGACACTAATTATGAGCATGGGTATATAACCGAAACACAAAGACAATCTTCATCCAGGCCCATTACTGCTAATTACCCCGACATTTCTTTTAGTTATCTTTCCTAGTGATCGACGCAATTATTGGTTTTATGGTCGATTATTTTTAAAGTGTGCTCTCAGTTCATCCTATATTTAAATATTTATCTTTTAATGTACTAACAAAGGATTTACTGCATGTTGTATTTCGTTGAATCACATCCTGCAGATTTCTATATGACACGCTGCAGGGACTTGTCCATGTCATTCTTAGCATGATCCCCATGAAGATCCAGGTTAAAATAGATCTTCTGCAACGCATGTTTGCCGTAAGGGGCGACTAACGGGATCAGGTGGTCAGGCTCGCTGACTTGGTTGATCCCAATTGCGTGGATCGATGCTCATGATGTCAATCACTGGATTGTCTGGTCCAGACTCGATTATTTACAGACCGCCGTCATAATGCTTGAATATTGCATAGTGAGGCGTTTAACAACAAACAAACAAAACAAACACATCTTAGCAACGATGTAAGCAACGATCGGGTGAAAGATAAATTTGTACAAAACTGTGGTGAAACTGTTTCAACTTTTACAATATCTTAGTAATTATAATCACTTAAAGTCACAACTTCAACCTGAAAATGATATTAATGTTGCAAATAGTATATTTACCAAGACAACATGTGAAATTGAAGATGTATCCATCGTCTTATTTAAGTGTAATAAGTATTCTAGTTGAAAATGTAGGTATCTTTCTTTCTTGAATAATGACTATAAATCTGAAATGTTATTAATAAATGTTATCAACTCACAAAATCTACGACCCGTGAAGATTCCTGGGTAGAATAGGGTCTTCAGCAATCCATGCTTGCCGTAAAAGGCGACTAACGGGATCGGACGGTCTGACTTGGTTGATGCATGTCATCGATCCCAATTGCGTGGATCAATGTTCGTGATGTAAATCACTGGATTGTCTGGTCCAGACTCGATTATTTACAGACCGCCGTCATATAGCTGGATTATTGCTGAGTGTGGCGTAAAACAACAAACAAACCAACCAACCACAAAATCTACACTATTTTAGTGGCTACTTATCTAAAACCTGCTTTTAATGGTGATACAAAGTGATTTGTTTTTTATTGTCTTACTATGGTGTAACCTGAACGTTTCCAATTTAATCATGTCAATGCTTCATGCTTTTATACATGTTCTGAAAGTTGTAGGTGTTCTCTCTTTGGAACGTATGTATTTATATAATTGCCTTTCTTGAAAGGCACCACCAAATTGTTTTTGGCTGATTTAATATATCCTATATTAGATACTGGTACTGTTTTGCTTCTCTGGTGTTTATTTCGTTGTATCCTCTAGAACATCAAACATGGCCTAGTGAATATATCATTCCAAGCTGTGGGCAGCTCTTGTCCACAGGCGGAGGATGTCATGAAGCATCAAAAACATTTAGAAAATCCATACAAAATAGAGGTTCAAACTGGTGACTACCTGCTCAATAGCTTTGATGCTGTTTGCTTTTCTGTAAAGTGTTACTGAATTTGGAAACATTGGAGACAATGTCGCGAAATTAAGGGATAGGGCTTGGAAGTCAGTAGACTTCAGCCAGCTACTAGACTTCAGCCAGCCACTGACCGGTCATGAATCACCGAACACCACAAAGACAACCTGTTATCATGGTCTGATAGCTTTTTAACATATTTAAATATTGTCTCGTAGCATGCTTTGGGTAAGCCAACCACAAACACTTTAGAAAACCTTCTCGTGGAAAAACAAGCTGTGTGGGGAGATCATGAGATCGAGTCAGTCACCTCCTGTTGCCCATTCAGTGACGAGCTTGGCCTGTCCGGTTTGGCACAGACCATTTCATATTCTGGGATAAATTGTCCAAGAACATTCTCGAAAAAAACACACTATGCTTCAGCAGACTGTCCAAAAAGAAATTTAAGCTGATAGTTGTAATCAAAAGCATATCTGGTTTTGCATCTGAAGCTAAAAGTAAATAAAGTATCTCGTCCCACCAACACCCCTGTGGCCTGCCCCTTAGTTGTGTTTCCAGAGATTGACTGGTGCAGTAAAGTTTATGAGCATCAAACCTTGTGTTGTTAATTTTTAATTGGTTGTGTGAAATCATGAATGTCTGTGTAGGTAATCAGGCACTAAGGTCCTTGGACACATCACTTCTGAAATCGGCTTTTTGCTTTGTTGTTTTACGCCGCACTGAGCAATATTCCAGCTATTATGACGGCGGTCTGTAAATAATCGAGTCTGGACCAGACAATCCAGTGATTTACATCAAGAACATTGATCCACGCAATTGGGATCGATGACATGCATCAACCCAGTCATCAAGCCTGTCTGGACTTGGCAAACCCCTTAAGCCCATGCGAGGTGCAGATTAGCGTCTCGGGCGACACAGAACACGATGTAGGTAGCTTCGGAGCCCCAAAGCCAGTTACAACATGGTGAAGTTGCAGTTACAACATTACCAAAAGCACCACAGCGGGGTAATGGGACACAACTGTCCTTACCATACCTGGTTCTTTAGGTTTTTGTTTGTTTGTTGTCGTTTAACGCCGCACTGAGCAATATTCCAGCTATATGACGGCGGTCTGTAAATAATCGTGTCTGGACCAGACAATCCAGAGATTGACATCATGAGCATCAATCCACGTAATTGGGATCGATGACATGCATCAACCAAGTCAGCGAGCCTGACCACCCGATCCCGTTAGTCGCCTTTTACGGCAGGCATGGGTTGCTGAAGACCTATTCTACCACGGAATCTTCACGGGTCAGGTTCTTTCGGTAAACCTACAAGCATGACATCCCACAAGGGCTGCTTGAACATAAGTTGCTTGGACTTTCACCGCCAAAGATATATGTTGCAAAGTAACAATTCATAACTTCCTGCTACAGTGATAGAGACGTTTTACAGATTCAGTATTCATGAAGTATTCACAAAGTTAAAGTCCTCGATTATCCAGCGTATTATATCTCAAATCTATTATGAGCAAATTCGGTTAAACCAGAGCATCTGTATGGTTGTGATAAACACTGGTTAATATCTTTAGTGATCCTTGGATTTGAACTCATGTTCAGTGGGTCCTGGCTCAAGCTCCTCACAGCGATATCCCGTTCGCGGAGCTCTCTATACTATCGCTCATTCGTCGACTACTATCGCTGCCACCAGTCAAAACTCCCTACAGTGATAGATGACCACAACCATGTTTGGAGTTGAACTCGCAACCGAATGACCGTTATGTTTACAAACAAGTGACGACTGTCGTGACGCCGAATACACTTACCCCTGCTAAATTAGTTTGTTTGTCAATTTGAATTTCTATTTCATTAAAACTATCATGTTATTGATATAGTAAGAATGTAAGGGAGAAGTTGATTGGTTTTCCCGTTAGTCTGCAATCTCGAACCAATCTGATTATACAAACAACAAAGTAAATTCATCTGGAAAACATGGTCAGTCATAAACCTTTTCAAAATGAACTATGATGGCACTCCCAAAGATATAAACAAAAGTATGAACGTGACTGCATTTGGGGTTAGAGGGCTGGGACGGGTAACTCGGTACCGGGTCGGGTGGGTACTGAGTAGGAACCGGATACCCACAGGACTACCCGGACCCGTGGTTAGTCATGTGATATATTGTTTAACTCTATGGTTACACTACAAGTCACTAATGTTCGCATTTCTTTCTGACTATGCACCCATTCCTTCTGATTTTTCATATGGTTGAATAAAGATATAACTTAAGTCAACTTCAGTGTATGCATCACCAGATCGTTTAATACATGTATCTAAATACGTTTTGCAAGTGCTGTGGTAAAAAAAAATCCCAATCGGACATTTTGCATCTCTTGAGACCTACAGTGGGTGCCCTGGTTGGGCAATGTTACCGAGAGTGTAATGAAGGTGTCACGTGCTGGGAAGGAGCTTGGGTCCTGGCACTTCCAGGGGATGCAACTCATTGCTTTGTTTGTTGTTTAACACAATAATATTCCAGATACATGACTGTAGTCGCTATATAGTTGAGTCTGAGACAGATAAACAAGTGATCGTTATTAGGAACAAAGAACCACACAATGTTGAGGTACACTGATACCAAATCTACCAAGTCCCGAGCCGGACTACAGATCCGTTTTGACACTGCATGCCACAAACATGTTGTCAGGGACTTATTCCAACTCAAATGTCATGGCTCAATGCACTCGTACAATGTTTAAAAATGACACAAACACACTGACAGGTTTGAGCTAATTTACTTTCAATGAAGAACAAAATAATAAGTGCTTGTATAAAAAACAAAAAAATAGGTCAGTGAGTGTGTTATTAAAAATATGAGTTGTGATTCTACTTCGAGCTCAAGGTAAACTTGAATGCACCTCATTCTGCTCCATACAACATCAGAACCGCCATTGTTCTTCCTTAGTTGGCATTAACCCCATCACAGCTCTCCACAATCCTGAATCAGACATTTCTGCAAAAGCAACAAGGTGAGTGAGTGAGTGAGTATGGTTTTACGCCGCTTTTAGCAATATTCCAGCAACATCACGGCGGGGGACACCAGAAATGAGCTTCACACATTGTACCCATGTCGGGAATCGAACCCGGGTCTTCGGCGTGACGAGCGAACGCTTTAACCACTAGGCTACCCGACCGCCCCAAAAGCAACAAGGAGATAATGAAGACCAGGCAATGGATACATTACAGTACAGTGTACTACATTTAGTAGGGATGTTACAAGGGGCGGTCGGGTAGCCTAATGGTTGAAGTGTTTGCTCGTCATGTCGAAGACCCGGGTTCGATTCCTGACACGGGTGCATTGTGTGAAGCCCATTTCTGGTGTCCCCTGCCGAGATACTGCTGGAATATTGCAAAAAGCGGCGTAAAACCATATTCACTCACTCACTCGCGTATTCGGTGAATCGAACCGTATCATCCATGAATTGAATTTCTTATTCATGGTCACTAGAATCGAATATATATAAATATGCAGTCATGTGCATTTACATACCCTGACCCTTAAAATATCCATAAGAACATATCATATGCATAGATTTCTTCAAAGACAACACTCTTTTATATTTAATTTGACAGTATTGTAGTCACTGGTCACTGTCGCATTTGAACAGACACCAGTACCTGGATAAGTGCAATATATAAATGTATTATAAATTAATAATTAAAAAACCATGTCAAATAATTTATTTTGTTATTAGTTCACTGAATATCATAACTAATACATCAACTGCTGACTTGTTATTGCATTCATGAATAAATATTTGTATTTGTTACCCTATATTCATGTTCAAATCATATTCGCCTCATAGTGTATTCGTTGCAGCCCTTACATTTACCCTCTGCCACTAGGGTAAGAGAAGTATGGTAAAATGATACTTCATGTCACAAACATAAAGATAAGTGCTGAAGCATAATGCATAAACACTTATCTTAACTCAATGTCAGAATGTTGAGATCTGATTGGTTCACGGAATCTTGATTAAATATTACATATCCTGCCTTATTCCTTATACCCCGATAAGAAGAAAACAGGCTGCACATGGATTTCTGAGCAGGACAATAAATCTCTGGTTCACGGAATCTTGATTAAATATAACATATCCTGCCTTATTCCTTATACCCCAATAAGAAGAAAACAGGCTGCACATGGATTTCTGAGCAGGACAATAAAATCTTGCACCCCACAAAAAGAGCAAACTAGCTGCAAGTTGTTTAGATGTCAATGAAAGTTATGTGACACAGCATAATTCACCTCAGCTCAAATGAACAGCTGTTTTCTGTTTTCAATTTGTTTAAATAATTTCACAAAGGCAGATTGAAACGCATCAGCAAGATAAATTTGTCAGAGCAGGATCACTCGAGGTATAACTGGTCTTATGTGGCCATTGTAGGGTTTATATCCCCTATAACACCTAAAGTGTGATGCATAAAACCACATAATCCCCAAGTGCGACAGCTACAACTAATTATGTATTACGTGAAACACGGATCTCAAGAATCTGTTTGTGTAGGTATAATATGTGTTCAGTATTCTTCCATCAACCATGTTAACCTTTGACTATGTAGCGCTATATTGAAGAGCACAATAGCCAGGGAACACTGTAGGACTGTCCCGGACATACTTGCACGTATGGAACAATATTCTATTTAAAAAGTTCATAAAAGATTCTATTAATTATTGAGTGAGTGAGTGAGTTGGGTTTTACGCCGCTTTTAACAGTAATCCAGTTATATCGCGGCGTGTCAGCTTAATGTGGGAGGAAAGCCCGAAGTGATGCAGGCCTTCGACGTTTATCACTTCGGTGAAACCCACGAGCATGGATATGGTGCTGACAAACCTAGAAACATAATCGGGGCGAACCAGGATTCGAACCCACAATCATAGGTTTCTGGCGTGCCCAAGGGACGCAACTCTGCACAGCGAATCGCGGCGCCTTAGACGACTGGGCCACCCGTGCCCCTATTAATTATTGAGTAATACTCCTTACACTACAGCTTGTACAGTGTTAGACAGTGTTTCATTTCTGCAAGTTTGCACACAACACGACAGAAAAGGAACTCACATTTGCACGTTTTTCTTTCTGAATGAGCATGATCACTATGGACAAACAGTGGTACAGCCTGTCAATAGCTGTATGAATGTATTCCATTGAATGATTGAACTGGATCTAACACCACAATGAACGGTATTTTAGTTATATTCCTGCATTTCAGTTTAAAATGGAAAGCCTGAATGGAAAGCAGGTCTTCAACATAAACCATATGAGTACGGTGTCAACCATCTTCCCGAGGCAAGAGAGTTAACTGACTTTACAAGTCCAGTTTCCACCCTTGCCGAACTAGGCTGGAATTACTGGGCTCGATCGTAGCGCCACCAGTGGCTATTACCAGTTATGTTCCTTCTAAGCCGTTCCCATGGACCAATCAGATTCCACCTCTCATATCACTTGCATTTGCTTCACACAAAATGGTGGCGCCCAGTCAGGACGATCTGATCAATGATCAACATCTATATTGTTATAAAACGGGTCTTACATCGCGAAATGCATCAAATCACGTGAGCACCTTGATTAAAAACGTGAAAAGGTTTTGAAAATATCTGCTCACAACGAGTTGGCGGTGCACATGCTTTGCAAATCCTGCAATCGACCGAAATCTGCACGACAGTTTACCAACCGGATTGCGATTTCGGTGCACGATTTTGATTGGACTACGCATAGACTCGTTAGTCCAGCCAAAATGTAACTCCATAATACCTGCCTAGTTCGGCAAGGGTGGAAACTAGACTTTTATAGTCAGTTAACTCTCTTGCCTCGGGAAGATGGGTGTCAACGAACAAAGAATCATAATGCGGGCAAATCTGGGTATTGAGAATCTGAAAAAGGTTTCTTGCACAACCAAAGGACACAACTCTGCACAGCAAATTGCATTACCTCAAACAAGCTGGACACTACTACATTTGAAAACAAGGATTGTTGTTTGTTGTTTTATGCCTCACTCAGCAGTATTCAAGCTATATGACGACAGTCTGTAATAATCTGAACCTGACAATCCAGTGATTGATATCATGATCATCGATCCACGAAATTGGGATGCGAGGGCATGCATCAACCAAGTCAGCGAGTCTGACCACCCAATCCCGTTAGTCGCCTCTTACGACAAGTATAGTCTCCTTTTACGGCAAGCATTGGTTGGTGAAGACCTATACTAACAAGGACCAAGATCTTTTACTGGCAATGGTGTTTCCATGACTGAAGGTACATCCATAGCATCCACATTACCTTTAAAGGAGCATCACCTCTGTCCACCTTAACATTCTCCAGCTGCTTGACAAATTCCATCCCCTCCACCACTTGGCCAAACACCACATGTTTCTTGTCCAACCAGCCTGTGACAACGGTTGTAATGAAAAACTGGGAACCATTGGTGTTGGGTCCACAGTTAGCCATGCTTAGTAGTCCTGGTTTTTCGTGCTGAAAGGAAAGTGAGTGAGTGAGTGAGTTTGGTTTAACACAGCTTTTAGCAATATTCCAGCAATATCACGGTGGGGGACACCAGAAATGGGCTTCACACATTGTACCCAGGTTGGGAATCGAAACCGAGTCTTTGGCGAGACGAGCGAACGCTTTAACCACTAGGCTACCCGACCGCCCCCTGAAAGGAAAGACACATGGGGGCGCTGTGTTACTAAGGTCATTTTAATTAGTTGTTTACAGATTTTTTTCTTTCAAAACCTGAAGTTGGTCGAACAAACAAAAAAAGCACTTTCAATTTTGTTTTTGGCTTTTGTGTAAACATATGGTCAGTAGGTATTAAACATACTGATGGCCAAGGTCCAGAACAATTGTGTAAACATGCTGTCATAGTGAGTTTTCTATCTTCTGTTGAGACATGCATAAAAACGATTTGTGATATATTTTATTGCTAAATGGGATTTTCAGAGTAGGTGGTATTAAAAAAATCTCTCAATTCAGAATTCTAACTTTCTCATCTCTCCTGAATTTTACCGTCGGCGGACCCGTAAACTAATTAAAACAATAAATCCTAAGGATGTTTTGTTTTGTTTTATTTGTTGTTTAACGCCACACTCAAAAATATTCCAGCTATATGATGGCGGCCTGTAAATAATCGAGTCTGGACCAGACAGTCCAGTGATTGACATCATAAGCATCGATCTACACAATAGGGATATGATAACATGCTTCAAACCAAGTCACTGAGCCTGACCACCCGATACCGTTAGTCGCCTCTTATGACAAGCATGGGTTGCAGAAGACCAATTTTGACCCGGATCTTCACAGGTGAGACAAGCATGGGTGGATGAAGACCACTTCTAACCCGGATCTTCACAAGTCCCTTAGGATGTAAAATGATTGAAATATCAATGTATCACAATGAACAACGGTAACTGTAAACTCAATCGCACGGTCAACCCCTCATCCTGGTGAGTTACTTCAGTCACCATGGTGACAGTCAACTACATTGCTCAGTGATCCACCTGTTGGTCAGTTATTTCACTACAGCAACCGTGGCTCATCGTGATAGCCCTGCTGGGTCAGTGAGTGAGTGAGTATGGTCTAACGCCGCTCTTAGCAATATTCCAGCAATATCACGGCGGGGGACACCAGAAATGGGCTTCACACAATGCACCCATGTCGGGATTCGAACCTGGGTCTTCGGCGTGACAAGCAAACGCTTTAACCACTAGGCTACCCGACACCTCTGCTGGGTCAGACACTATCAGTCATATTCAACCAGTCCACGGCTCAAGTCAGACTAGTGCTTTATGTAAAATAGAGTGCTCTTGAGTTATGGATCAATGGACGTGAGTGAGGCTGTGTCTATCCCTGACTACTTGTTAATCAGTATCAGTGAAATAACAGCATCCCTTGGGATCCTGAATGCAGACAGTCACCATCAGGGTAAAGTTTTCATCCTTGAATGTCTCTCCGTAGATGCTTTCTCCTCCAGTTCCATCGCCCTTAGTGAAGTCTCCACCTTGGATCATGAAGTCCTTGATAACTGAAGACAAAGTAGTGGCACATATGAGGGAGGGGATACGACAACTCAGTACATAAACATGATGGGACAAACATAGACATATTAACCTGTATATTTCAGGGCAGATCTTGAACATGTTGAATCAAAAATCGCAAAACTATATCAGTGTAACTTCTTCGAGAGGCATTTAGAAGTTTGAGTACTAAGTAAGGATACAATATATCGATGAACAACTTCTTCTACTTCAAAATCAGGAAACTACAAGAAGCCATCAACATCAAAAGACTCCAACCATCAATCAACTATGACCAAGGCTATTACATATACCCCTGGCGTACCATCAACTTATCAAAGACCCCAATCAGTCATAATCCTTATGTTTCAATACTGGCTTCACGCTTTTGTTTATATTACTGGCTTCACCGGTCAATATGTTGGTTGGTGGGTTGGTTTGTTGTTTAACGCCGCACTCAGCAATATTCCAGCTATATGACAGCGGCCTGTAAGTAATCGAGTCTGGACCAGACAATCCAGTAATTGACATCATGAGCATCGATCCACGCAATTGGGATCGATGACATGCATCAACCAAGTCAGCGACCCTGACCTACTGATCCCGTTAGCCGCCTTTTACGACAAGCATTGTCGTCTTTTATGGCAAGCATGGGTTGCTGAAGACCTATTCTACCCCGGATCTTCACGGGTCGGTCAATATGTTTACCCTTTTTGTGTACATAACAGGCTTCTCCACTCCAGTGTAACTACATCTTAAATCTACTCCACTGTATAAACACTGCCTCCTACCTGTATATATACTTATAATTAACCATACTCTGTACATCACTTGCGTGATAACGGTGTCAAAACCTACATCAAAACGTCGCTTCTAATTGTAATAAAGAAGTTGTTCATCAATATATCATGATATATTGTATCCTTACTTAATATATCAGCGTATATACCATCTAGACCATAACAAAACTAGAGAGTTGTTTGCTGACTCAAGAATGGAAGCAGACCCATACTCACCTTTTCCCCGAATGCCCCAAAACTTTCCGATCAGAAACATGTATCTTGAACAATTTGGACAAATCATATGACAGGAGACCTCTCCATCATCTGTCAGCATCTGTCTATATTCACATTCGATCCCTATTCATGCTAATGTTGTCTCACGTAGCACAAGTACCACACATTAATCGATGTCTCTTTCATTTCATAATCATTCAAAGATGCTTCGTCTTTTCAGGAATTAAATAATTCCATATTTTGAAAATAAGGTTCCTGGTGACCTTGACCATGATCAAAGGTCACCAAGAATCTTCTTAAAATAAGATCTGACCCTAGAAATCATTATATAAATTTTCATTAATTCTGAACATAATCATGATAATACTCAACAATGTGACACTCAGCAATATTCCAGCTACATGACGGCGTTCAGTAAATAATCCAGTCTGGACCAGACAATCCAATGATTGACATCATGAGCATCATTCCACACAATTGGGAAACGATGTCAGCGAGTCTGACCACCAGGTCCCGTAAGTCACCATTACAGCAAGCATGGGGTGCTGAAGACATATTCTACCTCGAATTGCAACTAACATAAACACATTATGTGTGATATTTAGATAGAAATGTTTAAAAAAAGTATTTTCATAATGATTTATGAATTTCAGATGTACACATATCATTATATATGAGTGAGACAAAGATATTGTTTCTTTTAATAGTTTTTTAACATCTACCTAATTATTACTCATATCTTAGTGTTTGCCTCCCTTTGATCAATGTGCACGACTGACACCCACATTTAGTTTAATAATTTACAGTTAGGAATGTTTTAAAAAATATTTTCATAATTATTAATGTATTTCGTACGTACAAGTATCATATACATGTGTTCGAGAATATAAGATTTCTTTTAAAAGTTTGTTTACATCTTTCAAACTAGTACTCATGACCATGTAACATTCTCAAACCAAAAACATATGAAGAATGGTGCATGGCACCGAGCAATAAAAGAATATGGACAGGCAGGCCATGACACCTGATAGTTGGGCTTTGCTAAGGTGAGCTACCCATCAAGGGTTTGTGCAGTATACTTACTTCTATGGAACACGCATCCCTTGAAATGGAGGGGTTTACCGCCCTTGGTCGACCCTTTTTCTCCAGTGCAGAGAGCTCTAAAGTTCTCGGCTGTTTTAGGTACTTTATCCTTATATAGCTCAAACACCACACGGCCAACTGAAACAGACACAATTCATTTATATATTCATTATTCATAGCTGCGATTATTTACAGGCCGCTGTCATATAGCTGGAATATTGCAGAGTGCGGCGTTAAAGAACAAACATAATGTGGGAGGAAAGCCTGAAGTGATGCAGGTCTAAGACGTTTACCACTTTGGTGAAACCCACGAGCAGGTGTATAGTGCTGGCAAACCCAGAAACATAATTGCGTCAAACTAGGATTCGATCTCACAATCATGGGTTTAGGGCATGCCTAAGTGACGCAACTCTGCGTGGCGCCCTAGATGACTGGGCTGTCTGTTCCGCCAAAGAATGGTGACCAATAATATAAATAAACTGGAATCCCCACAGCGTGATAGGCATTATGAAATTACTGGCTCAGTGGATGTAACTTAGACCTGTAGATTCAAAGGTATTGGCTGGGGTCCATCTTTAAACTGCAGTCTCATCAACAGCCAGATCACCAGTTCTAATTTACAAAGTGAGTGAGCGAGTGAGTTGGGTTTAACGCCGCTTTTAACATTATTCCAGTTATATCACGGCGAGTCAGCTTAATGTGGGAGGAAAGCCCGAATTGATGCAGGTCTAAGACGTTTACCACTTTCGGTGAAACCCACAAGCACGGGTATGGTGCTGACAAACCTCGAAACATAATTAGGGCGAACCAGGATTCGAACCGGATTCGAACCCACAATCATAGGTTTCTGGCGTCCCCAAGGGACGCAACTCTGCACAGCGAATCACGGCGCCTTAGACGACTGGGCCACCCGTGCCCCCCTTAATTTACACAGAGTAGGTAGGGAAACCAGAAACACACATATTTATATCTTTTGGCCTATATACTGTCACTGTTGGGATGCAGAAATGGTGTAAGTGTGATTAGGAATGAAAGCTGCTATTTCATCATTTGATGCCACCTAAAAAATAAATTTCTGTACATAATCATTTTAAAAAATCAGTACACAGTGGAAAGCTTCACAATCTTCTAGCGCAAGCACTTGAAGTTACAGTTGAGGAATTCCATTTCATTTCCTTAACAATCAGCCTGAGAGCATGTGCAATATTATGTCACTGAAGGGGGACGCTTCATAGCACAGCAAACCACAAGATTCGTGATTGTTTTGGCTAATTTTGACTACATCTTGAAGAGCAAACAAGATGAGTAAAACTTGTATATGATGTTATATATTAAATAAGATATATATAAACAAGCAAACACAGATAAATCCTGAATAACCCCTCCCATGACAGACAAAAGGATGGTATGCTACATTATCGCGGTAGTTCATTTATAATGGATGGTCATGGCGAACGCTTACAAGCCTATTAAATATGTCATATGCAAAATGTTACTTGTTCTTGGCACAACTTTTATGACACATCAATTAGGATTGATCGATGCTGATAAACAAAGTAAACAAAGTACCTGTCATTAGCGACTCAAAGGCAGGCAACTCGTGGTATGGCTATTTTGTAGTGTGATACATGTGGATTATGTTTGTTTGTTTGTTGTTAATGCCGCACTCAGCGATATTCCAGCTATATGACGATGTTCTGTTAGTAATCGAGTCTGGACCAGACAATCCAGTGATTGACAACAGGAGCATCGATCAAGAATTATGCATAATCACTATGCATAAGACCTAGGTTGGGTCAAGGTACTTTGTCTAAACAAATGGGTTCTTTTCTAATCAATTTTGAATGTAGGTCAAAAACATTCCAGAAACTATCATAAAAAAGTTAACGTGGGCTCTTAGCCGTGACATACCGAAACAAGTCCTGTAATTGGTCATGCGGTGAAATATTACGCTTAGATTTGTACAAGTAAACAGTCGACAGGGTGTGTGGATAAGAAATTTACTGATACCGCGATAACATGGAGCCCGCAATAGTATAGAGTCTTATAGCTAAAATGGATGGAACTATCATTAAACCGCCCACATGTTTTCAAAAAAGAGTGGGCCACTGTAAAATGATAATGTCCCCATATTGCTTAAAGATGGGCCATTATCATGCTTGTTGTAAGGTGATGTCATAGGATAGGGATAGGGATAGGGATAGGGATAGGGATAGGGATAGGGATAGGTGACATCACATTCAATAGTGACGTCATCTGGTTTGTTCTATGACGTTTCCATATTTGTAAAAGTGGGTCAGTGACATTCGTGTTGATTGCAGTAAATGTTTCAAAACCAATATTGTTATCTCTTTTTATTTGATAAAAAATTCATCCATTTTACCTATAATAACAGTAACACTATTTTTCAGGGCATTATCATTTGCAGAAGCCCTCGGTATTTTCAACTGCCCTCCTTCGTTGGGCAGTTAGTGGAACACTTCAGGCTTCTGCAAATGACAATGCCCTGAAAAATAGCTTTACCCTTACAATACTATATCATGAAGAACAATGTGATCACTTACCAACAACGCCACCTATGCTTATATCAAAGAACACACGTGGGTTGCCCATCTTTAATCTGCTGTGGATAATACTTTAGTACCTGCAACACAGAAAAACAAAGATTTATTCAACTGGTGATAACAAAAAATATATCCTGCTGTGTGTGATACCTGTCACTCACACGCAAGGTTGAGAAATTCTCACGCATTCATATAAAATGTAGATAAAAAAATTTTGAAATGCTTTTCTCTTTCGATTTATCGCGATTGCAACCAACTTGGCGAGAAAAATCATTCAAAACCAGTTTTCGCCGGGGGTGGGTTGGGTGGGTGTGGGGGGAGGGTTGCTTCCCCCCCCCCCCCCCCCCTCAACATCCAGGGGTTGACAGCTACGTGTGTATTATCCCCACCGAGATAAGTATTGAATACAACTGCTTCATAAACATTATATACCAATGTGAACACAAATCTAAAACAATTTATTAAACAAAATCAACACAAATCCTCGGGCATAGGCTACACAGCCCAGTCGCTTAAAGAAAGTCTTGTTCAGAGTTGATATCCGGAGAAACCGGTTTTTACAGGACTGCGCTGCGTCTATACATGCTACAAGGGGGAAAATCTATATATCAAACTGCATGATCCGAGTCTTAGCACATAAAGGATCATGGAGTAACAAGGCCCATGCCTGAACAACATTCAACTCTTAACTACAATGCTCAATTTACTGGTGAATAATTTCAAAAAATATCGACAAATGGTTTGTCAGTAGGGCGAAATAGCCATGCCATGCACGTGCACAATTGTTGGATCGGAACATGTATTTTCGCGGTAGACATTTCGAAGACAGTAACCGGTACATACAAACTCCGTCAGTCGGAACGTTTATGACAATAGCAATACCGACGATAGACAAAATATCCAACTTCTGGATACTATTTTCAAAGGTATTTGTACTGACCTACGGATGCAATTGCTGAAACAAGACAGATACTGTTAGCCGGTGTCGGATGGGATCCTTCTTTTCGCTTCGGTGAAAAATTCAAAAGTTTGGAAGCGAAATTTAACGAACTGATATCTCCAATAATATGATCCTTAGGCAGGTTATGCTCAGTTAAATTTAATAAACTGGTTTGATGTCACAACATATTGTAATTTGACACGCCCGAGTATATGATTGTGATGATATCATGCGTAAAGCTTTCGCTTGGAATTTTTGTTTTGCTTTCTTGCTGTCTGTGATGTGTTTGTTTGTTTGTTTACACCGCACTCAGCAATATTCCAGCTATATCACGGCGGTCTGTAAATAATCGAGTCTGGACCATGTGAAACCGTCCACTGTGAAACTAAAGCCTTTCATACAGAGGAAACAAATATTCTGGATTCAAGAGGATTATGTCGGACCAAAGACGTCCGTGGTCGGGCTGATACCCACTTCGACATACTATATCAATTTTCATATTTTGTATTTAGGAGCAAACATTTAGTTTCTGGGTGGGGTTCGAAAACAAAATCTAGACAACGTTTTACAGAAATACATTAATTTTTTACATATTTAGCGTACTTTACGAAACGAAATAATGTGCCAATTTTTGCTGCAGACAGGTGTCCAAATAAGTAAGTTCGTTGTTTCTATTTACTTTGGGACTGGTCATTTATTATGGGGATGGGTGGATAGAGGGCGGTGTCCTGCATGAAATAAAATAATAGAAACATGTAAACATTATTTAGGGACTGTTCATTTATTATGGGGGGAGGGGTCATGAAAATATGTTAGATTTATTTATTAAATCTATCTATCCATGCATCCATCCATTTATTTTATTCATATATTTATTCATTTAGAAATAAATCGAGTCCCTCACTTGAAGACAAGTTTAATCAATGTTTTTTTTGTGGTGGAGCTGATACCTTTCAGAAGCGACTTGGAAGTACTAAACGGATTTCCGGAATGGCGGCTATTGTTTCATAATAATTGCGGACAAAAAAACAACGTTACCATTTCCCCCGCCATTGGGCACATTAGAATTTTGTTTGTTCATATTGACGTGAATGTAAACTATAACAAAAACGTGTCCTATAAAGCCTTAAGACGAAATAGGTACTCGGGTCGCTTTATGTCATCAGAAAAAAATGATTTAATGTGAATTCACAAAGACCCCTTCTCTGGAAAAGAGTAATGTGTGGCAACAATTCTCTAACTCAGTCTTGATAATCATCTCTTACATAAGCTAACTTCAAGTGTCTCTGATAAACCTTGTTCCCACGGCAGACACTATGCACTTTGTCAAATACAAATTTTCGAACTTACTCTTGACAAGTATCTCTTAGATAGACACACAAACATTCATTCATGTTACGTTAGTAGTTTCTGAGAAAATTTATCCATATTGCAGACCCATAACTCTATAAAACATAAATTAAGACACCAATTTTCGAAGTCATTTACGATCATGACCAGTAATATCAGTGAGTAAATTTCATTTACCTAACTTGAACAGCTTTTGAGAAAATGTGTCCTCTTTGAGAAGCGGACGAACGGATAAACTCCGTTCGCCTCATGGCAATTCCTATTCATTTGTGTATTTGTCCTATTACTGAAAAGAATGTGACAGTATGTTTGATATTTTTTAAATGCGTTGAAATATACTAATATCTTTGCTGTCATCGGCTCATTACTACGTCTACAAAGCATCTAGGTATCTAGAATTGAGGTGGTAAGGGTATTTTGTTTCCAATGCAGACCTACGTTGCCCTATGAAATTGAAACCAAACGATCAGAGGTTTCAAATCTCAATAGCACCTCTGATTAAAATAGCTGTATTGATAGCCGCGTCCTCTCGGAAGCTAATATCTGTAGAAAATAACTTCTTTCTCAATCATTGTTGGTAGGCAACTTGAAATAAAAAACAAATAAATATTTTTGAGTTTTTTTCTGTTGAATTTTTTACGGTTTGCACAGTCAATCGCTTTTCAAAAATGTGATGAATAATTGGTGAATTGAGTTTTATAACCATATATATTTGCTGTGTACATGGACATATAGAAGTATTTTGTGAGCTCCTTCAGTATGGTATCGAATTCACGTGTTTTTCGGAATGTTTTGTGTCTGAATATAACACGTTTGCACATAATTAACAAAAACAAAAACAAAACATAATTAACAGGTTAACAGGTTCAGAATTCGATAGTGTGGGTCACTCGAGAACAATCTTTTTATCCAGTTGAACTATAACCAGTGCCTTTTTTAAACCAATTTTCGAACTGCCTCCAGAGGGAGTTCCCACTAAAACAATACCTGAATAAATGTTCAACAGTTTCGATTAAGTCAGGTGAGTAGCTACATAAATTGTTGTCTACGTATCTCATTTTACATTGTAACGTATTTGTTTGGTAAAGTATGATGAATAATTTGATATTGAAACCTTTGCAATCGTATTTGTAAGGCACTTAAATGGGTCGAAATCATATTTGCATTTGCCTGTTTCTGTTATTTTATTTTCTAATATCGATTCCCATTGTGTAAAGTGATGATGTTTTAACACTCGCTATCTAATAATATTTTGTAATAGTAATCACTGCCTTTTTGGTGAAGTAAATGATAGATGGAAAATGGCAGGATAAGCTCATCTCATTTCTTACTGAATGTTATAGAAGCCTTTCTGTATGTTACATTTTCATAAACGTTATGATAATAGAGACACATCTATGAGAATAACCATAAAGAAAATATTTTAAATATGAAATAGCTATTGTTAAAATGGTATTGCTTGGGTACGATTTAAACGCTTAGACTGGATATTTTTGTTAATCAACTTATTCCTAATCAGGAAACATAGGAAATCAAAGAATTTAAGTAACCAATCAGATCTGAGAAAAAATTCAAACTGGATATACAAAAAATAATATCCTGCTGTGTATTATCCCCCGTGAAAATTGCTTCATAAATCATGTACAAATGTGAATAGTCAGATGTATACACAACAATAAAATTTAAAACAATTTTTTAAACAAAATCAACACATACATCCCTCGGACATCTCAGTCCAATGACACAAAGAATATCTTGTTGAGAGTTGGTATACGGGAAAACCAGTCTAACATATACAGAAACCCCGTCATCGCCTTATCACTTCCGCATATGACCACAGGCTTGGACTTAATAATATTGAATCATAGTATTATTCATTTGTCGCCGTTGTATCAATAAGTTCGGACTGTGCTGTTACCTGTAGAAGCAGATAACCTGCGTCCTATACTTGCGACAAGTGAAAAGATTTAAATTATCAAAATGGATGATCGAGTCCCGGCACATAAAGGTTCGTGGAGTAACAAGCCCATGCCTGAACAGCATTCCACTCTTAACTACAATGCTGAGTTTACTAGTGAGGAGTTTAAGAAAATAGCGTACGGCCTCATACCCCAGGCGATGGAAGATAAATGGTTTATCTACATGGGGGAAAACAAAAATACGCTATACCTGCACAGAAGTTGGACCGGAATATGTATTTTCGAAGTGGACTTCGTAAAGACAGAAACCGGTACGTACAAAGTTCAGCGCGTGTTTGTTAACCGGAATATGGAAGATTATACGAATACCGACGACAGACAAGATATCGAACTGCTGGATATGCTTATCAAATGGTGTATATAGTATATGTACTGACCTAATGGATGAAATATGGAGTGCTGAACACGACCCAAACACAGCCTGGTTCCCTGGATATGCTGCGCTGGCGCTACACAGTACAGTTCAGGCACATAGACTTGCACTAGGTTCGATTAATTATCAGTTTAAATTATAAGTTCTAGATTATGTAAATAATAAGAACAAGTTGTCCCGATAAGAGACTGGAGTCCTTAGAGTGTGTTGTCCACATATCTAAAACGTGCCTATTAGGAGGCCTGATATACTATACATCCATGGACTTTTCTTTCAGTACAGCCTTGGACAAGGCTAGGGCAATGAAAACACAATATGGCGGCCTCCACCACACAAACATGGCTGACACGACATGTATTAACGACGTTTTCTATAGGAAAACACCCGAACGGGCAGTTAGAATTTTTTCTTAGCATTTTCATGAATACTGTTGCAATGTGTACATCATGAGAATAACGCCCATTGTTACTTTTAGTGAAGGAAAACATTACTTCAGCTCTTTCGAAACACGAAAGTCGTGCTGTCATTGGCGACATGTAAACAAAGACACACTCCCATTTTTCAACAGCGATATGTGCGTTAATATTTCGTGTCAGTTCCCCGCTATTGTCACGGAACCGTCCATACTACATGGAATTGAACGACCATGTTTATGAAATATCGTAAGCATTTTAAGTTTAGCAAATTTGATGTCGCCAATTGTGCCCCGTTTTCTCCCATGCTGGGTTAAGCGGAAATATTGCCCCCATGATACGATTGTAAATCCCAAAGCAAACGTTGAAATCTGTATAAAGATATATATGATCCTTAGGCAGAATATGTTCCGCTACGTTTAATAAACTGGTTTGATGCACAGGAACTCGTTATTGGTCAGTAAATATAAATATATATACCACAATATGTAAGTAGAGAATAGGGGTATATATATTTTTATTTACTGACCAATAACGAGATCCTGTGGTTTGATGTCACAACACTGTGTAATTTGACACGCCTAAGAATATGATGGTGATGACGTCATGCGAAAAGCTATCGCATGGTTATTCTGGTTTTGCTATCGTATTCTATGAACGGGATTATGTGCACACTGTAAACATGGTAAACACTACCACAACGCCTTTTATACAGAGGAAACGTATATTTTGGATTCAGGGGATGTTGATTCTATCGGATTGATATCCACTTCAAAATACAAGAATATTTTGTAACAAGATGCATATTTTATATTTTGTATAAGGGAACAACCACTTGATTTTCGGGGGTGGGTCTAAAAAACAATAAAGCCTCTGTTTTACTTAAATACATAAACATATACCTCGAATTGTAGAAATAAAAACAATATGCTATTTTCTTGCAGACACGTGCCCAACAGTTCGTTATTTTTATTTATTATGCTAAATGCATAATTGATCACCTGTTTATGTTGGAACAAATATTTGAGCTCTTAAA